GTGGACACTTTCCTGAGGTTCTGCAGCCTCTAACCAGTGGGGCAGACTGAGATGTGCCCTAGTGGCCACTCAGTTCTGTTGGGCTGAGAGCCATCTCTGGTGCCGTCCCTGACATTGTTGACCCATGGTGCTTGGAGCTGTTCATAGTGGAGAAAGGTCTCTGGAACTAGAAGACCACCTGGTGAGTATTCAAAGTGCACATAGCACCCCACTTCCTCCTTCCAATTTTTAGCCTTTCTGGAGGCATTGTGGCTCCCTCATGGGTCTTGGTTGGCTTTCCGTACATTATAGGAAGAGTCTTGTCTTGGGGAGACTTCTCCCTAACTGGGGGGAGAATAGAGAGTCTGTCTGGAAGAATACTCTTGAATTTTGGGTTTCACTTGTTTTGTAAGGCATTTGTGCTTTGATATGTATGTTTATGTGACTCCCTTTCCTCCTAGAAATAATGTTTTCCCTATTGCTCTGTCTTTCTGTGTTGGTCATAAAAGGTCCCATTCATAAGAAGCTTTTGTTGCCTCAACTTTTTTTGCTATCTTAGCCTATTTCTGGAAGAATGAGGGGATCTTTGGATTACATCTGGAGAGGCTGTTGGGTTAGCTCACTTTAAAATAAGTACATCGTTAAAAAATGTAATGGCCAAAGTGGATCCTTTAGGTTAAAGCCTCCTCAATTTAAAAAATAGATTTTAGAGATCCCTTATTCTAAAAATTGTCTTAATTTGTATTTATGAAAAGATCAGAACTAAAAGAACACATAACGATTTCATGGCTAGCCTTAGGAATTCTCTTGACAAAATTTAAGAGCAAATATCTAAAACAAAGATAAAAATCTTTTGAACACTGCTTCTGTGGGAATAATGGTGGAGGTTGATTTACCTTGTAGCCTAGTGGTTAAAGTTCTGTGCTTTCACCACAGCAGCTTAAGTTTGATTCCCCGGTGAGGGTTGAGCCTGTCCTGAGTTGATGTTTGTGTAACTTTTGTCAATTGTTGATTATTTTCCCTCTGCAAACAGCTTTTGATTACCTGTAATCTGCTTCTAGACATTTATGTATACATGGTCAGCTGAGGTGCTGAGACCCTAGAAAATATACCCAGACAGAAACGTGGGTCACACCCAGTTTACAGCTATTGAGACCTTCCTTTTTTCGAGCTGTTTTTGTGAATTTTTTTGTATCCCATAGAAACTGTTTTCCACCTCTTTGTAGACACCTATTGCTTCCTTGATTAATTATAAGTTAGGTTGAGGCTTACCAGTTTCACTTAGATGGGTACTTTAACTAAATAGTTCAAAAGCAAAAATGTCAGCTGTTTGTCCTGGCTGAAGTCAGCTCCATTTCCTTCTTTGTTAATCACTGAGCTTTGGCCAATCAAAGGCAGCCAACTGTTCAAACTGTGTTTAAATCAGGCAAACACTGAGTTGTAACCAATGCAGCTGTTTCTCTACTTCATTTCCATTCCCTGTACCTCATTTTGCCTTTGCTGTCCAGGAATCTTCTTCAACCATGTGGCAGAGCGGGAGTCTCTCTGAACCTGGTCTGGTTCAGGAGCTTCCCGTTTCATGAATTGTTCTTACCTCGTTTAAACTCTGTTAAATCTAATTTTTCAGAAGTGCGTTTTGAAATAGAACTCCCAGAGACCCCCAGGAGTGCCAAGTGAACAAGTGAGGTACCTGTGGGCCCATTGTGTCCACTGCTCTCTCCAAGTAACTGGGGCTTGTGGGTAAGTTCTCTCTTGGATTCCAAACTCCACACACTTGTGTTTTGAGCTCTCCAAGTTCGTTTAAGCAAATTTTTAATCCTAACTGGTTCAGAAGTCACCATACAAACTGGACTGGTTCTGGGATTAGATTGGGTCCAGTAATTAACTGGCTCAGATCCAGTTAGGGGCCTCAGATGTCTCACTGGGTCAGATGGAAACTGGCAGTAAATGGCAAAACTACAGGGGTTGTGAACTCCAACTTTCAGGAATTCGCAGAGATGTCTGTGTTCTATCCCTTTGTTCCTTTTTCCTGCATATTTGGGTTAGGAACGGAAAAATCACTGTCTGAATCCATCATGGAATCTGAGAGCCAAAGCCAAGATTCAAGGTAAAAATGGGATCCTTAATTCCTGAAGAACTGAGTACTCTACTTTGTGCCTACACCTACCTACACGTGTGTAAGTATCCAGCCCCAGAAGCATCAAATGCTTACAGAAATGTTCCAGATGGACAGCTCTATGAGGGCCTTCGAATTAGTATCATCTGGGGATGCCTAATGATGTGCAGAAGCTTGCAAAAAGATTTAAAAGTGTCTTTACAAAAGGCAAATAAAAAGCTTAAATGACTAATTAATATAAAAAATCAAACCTGCTAACCTTTTTGGCTTAGTTACTATCCTGCCCCAAAGGGGAAAAGGAAGCTATACTGGATAGAGTATTTACAAAAGGTAGGCCCTGAGGCAAGAGACATTTGCTTCTTTTTTGGATCTATCCATGCTAAGTCCAGGTATAGAAATGCCTTTTTCTTAACCCCATTTCTTAGTGGACTTCACCCCAGATTCAGTAATTTTGGGTAGAAAATGGCAGCAAAGTTAAAAAGACCACCTACCTAAAACACAGCTTTTTGGCATTTAATCGGATTTTTTTTTTTTTTGACACAGGGTTTAACTCTGTTGTCCAGACTGAAGTGCAGTGACATCCTCATAGCTCACTGCAACCTCAAACTCACAGGTTTGGGTGATCCTCCTGCCTTAGCCTCCCAAGTGGCTGGGGCTGCAGGCACATGCCACCATGCCTGGCTGATTTTTCTAATTTTTTTTTTTTTGTAGAGACAGGGTCTCATTTTGTTGCTCAGATTGGTCTCAAACTCCTGGCCTCTGGTGACCCTCCTGCCTCAGCCTCCCAAAGTTCTGGGATTGCAGGAGTGAGCCATCACTCCTGGCCCTTAGTTGGATATATCGAAACCCTTTTATATGAGAAATTTGAATGTTTAAAGGAAATTTCCATTTTTAAGAGTGTCTGAGAGGGAGGACTGAGTCACTAGAAACTCTTACCATTGTTCTAAGTGACAAGTATTGCCTTTGTTGGGTACTTTTCCTGCCTATCTTGTCTTAACTTAGACTTTACACAAAACCTTTTTTTTTCCTTGGTATGATCAAATGATGGTACAATATTTAGGCCTAAGGTCTTAGCTCAGTGCTTTTGAAATATAAATGTTCTGCCTTGTTTCCCCTAGACGTCATCTTTTTAAAAGGCAAAGTATTGCCTAGCTAACAATTGCTTACTTAGGGCAATAAGATAGGTAATTAAAAGATTGATAGTCTGAATAAAAAATATATTTAAAAACTGTCAAAAAAAATATTGACAGCAAACCACAGCTCTAGGAAGCTCAGAGACCACTGAGCAGGATATATACCCAAAAATCTACACCTAGGCATAATACATTGAAACTGCAGAAAATCAAAGACAAAGAAAAAATCTTGAAAGAATCCAGAATACAAAGAAAACTCACCTTACCTATAGAGGAACAAGGATAAGAATTACATTGGACTTCTTTTCATAAACCATGCAAGTAAGAAGAGAGTGGAATGAAATAATTAAAGTGGTGAAAGAAAAAAAAACCCAACAACCTAGAATTCTGTATCCAGCAAAATTTTCTTTCAAACATGAAGGAGAAATAAAGAATTTATCAGACTAACAAAAATGTAGGGAATTTATTGCCTGTATACCTTAGCAGAACATTAAGAAATGTTAAAAGTTTTACAGAGAGAAGGAAAATGATATAGAAACTCACATATATATAAAGAAAGGAAGGGCGCTTGAGAAGGAATATATGAAATTAAAATAATCTAATGCCCCAAAACTAGAGCAATCCCTAGCATGTCTCCTACCATACCAGTGTGTTTAAAATTTCTGGTTTGGTAGCTAGTTTCCTTCAATCATTGTAGCTCTTTCCTATTGCTACTAACCAAAAACAACAAAACCAAAGAAAACAAAAAATGCCTTGACATTGGGAAAAGTGACACAGTTGTGTGATTTGATTTTCCTTTAAGATACAGTCCATGTGAGGATGGAGGTGTGGGGACTGATTTCTTCACCTACCCTGCTGCCCTGTGCCTTTGGGAAACATTTGCTGAAATATTCCTTGAAATAACAAATCAATTTTTATTACCTTTATTAGAGTTGGACAAATTAAAGGAGTTAATTCCCCTTCTTTTTGGTTGCTATTTGTTGAGTCACTATCTTTGCCATTAATACTGAAAACATAGTTTGACAAATAGTTTTTTAAAGCAAACATCAGCAAAGTATGGTTAACCACCTGGTTTTGTAAATAAAGCTTTATTGGAACACTGCCATGCTTGTTCATTTATGTATTATACTGCTTATGAATAGTGTATTATTTGTTATGTATTATATCATTTTTGTAGCTGCTTTTGTGCTACAATAGCAAAGTTAAGTAGTTGCTACAGAGATCATTTGGCCAGCAAAACCTGAAATATTTACTATCTCTGAACCTTTAGAGAAAAGTTTGCCCATCCTTGTTCTAAAGGAGAAAAAGGGTAACTAATTTATGGAAATTAGCATCCTTCTATCTTTTGTTCTTACACTACTCTAAGCACTGTGCAAACTAGATATCATGAGATCATTTTTAATACTGACCTCAATAACTATCTGAGGATAACAATAAATTGGTCCTCTCTTTCTTATAATTGAGCAGATAGTTGGTGTAAAATCAACACGTGGATCTTATCTAAGTAGGAAAGTGACCAACCTTCAGAATTCCTGTTTCTGTGGAGTTTGTGGTCCCAGCAGGGACAGCTTATTTTCTCTCATTCTACCAGTAGCTGCTCAGAGCACAGTGATAAAGTACCTTACACTATCTCAGAGGAGTATGGGTATAACTTTTCAGTTCAATGCGAAGATTTATCATAAACCCACAATATGTCAGACATTGTACTGAATGCTGGGAATATAAGATGCTCATAGGAGTTCACAGCCTTCAGGTAGTTAATTGTTGTTTACCTTAAAGGGAAACTTATTTCCTCATCACAGCAGTGAAGTTGGGCTACTTCTTGGATCCTAATCAGATATCTGTTTACTTCTGACAGCATCTATAAAATCAAAAACAAAATTAGAAGCATGTAAATTTTTTTGAATTAAAAAAATCTCACTACTGCAGAACCATTTTATATCCCAGAAGATGGAGGTGTTGACTAAAATTCAGTTCAATTATGAAAATGTTTTCACTGTTTATACAATAAGCTTTCTTTAGAAAGACCACAGTGGTGATAAAGAAAACTATATTTGAGAATGTTAACAAAATTTTCTAACTACTGAAATCATTGTTTTATTTGTAAATGCTTTCCTAGTATCAAAAACAAAGTTGGGGGTGGGCAAGAAGGGAGCCATGAAGACAAGGAAGTGAATGAATTATTAATAGTATGATTAAAAAGTCAGGCCCTTGTATCAATCTAGTCACAGAGATGATCTCTTGGTGGGAACAGTGATCCAGAGATAAAGTTCTGCAGGCTCTGTGAGTTCTGAGATTCTGGACTTTTGCAACCCAGTCAACTCCACTTCTCTTTCCCTACCAAATGTGCAAACTGAAGTTATGACAAAACAACTCCATCTTGCTTCCCCAATTTGACCTAATAAAAATAACCTCTCCAATCAATGGATATTTCAATTTGACATAATTCATATATTGAGCTCCCACTGTGTGCCAGACACTAGAAGACACATAAATCATAGCTCATACATGATGGAGCTCCCAGTTTTGTGAATGAAGGATTGTAATAAAATATAACATGCTCAGAATACAAAATACTTAGGAAGGAGAGATTCACAGTTGGAGATATTGGGGAAAACTTCGCAAAGAAAATGATTGAGTTAGAGTTTTAAAGAATGAATATTAGTTTACCCAGTGGAATAGGAAGGAAAGAAAGAGTATGTGCAGAGCACAGATGTGTGAAAAGGGGCTAACACTCTTAGAGAGTCATGAGCACATCTGTGTGGTTTGAGCCTAAGGTGGTAGGGGAGGCTATAAGAGAGAAGGTAGGATGGGGACAGGTGACATTCTCTAGGTAACAGATAGCTAACAGAGGACTTCTAAAAATTGTTCAGACATGTTCAGTGTGCAGAATCCTGTACCAGGTACTACGTGCAAGGAGATAGAAAACAAACAGGACACATGGAACTTTTCCTCAAACGGGGTCATGACCACAGGAATACCAATAAAGGAGCAAAGATGGTAGAAAAGTTACGGGATAGGAACAAACCCCCTTGTGCCTCTTCTTACAGAGCACCCTCGCAGATAACAAGGGTGTGGAACTGGAGAGCTTGGCAGTGCCTGACACGCAGCGGGGACCCCACAAACGTTAGCTGCCTCGGGATCCATTTGTCTCCTTTTGCCAGTGACTTGAGGTTATGTTCATGAGCGTGAGATATAGCAAGAATGTCAGAATACCTACGGGGCACCCCCTGATGATTCTCTGTATATCTGACAGCTGATCCTTCATAGAGATGTTTTGCTTCATCTAGGAAAAAAGGTGATTTTAGGCAAACTCAAACTGTGACATTTTTATTCATAAAAGACATAGATTAAAATTGTTATGGCCCTTGATACAGAACCTAGGATTTCATATAATAAAAAAATTTCAATTTTCTGCCAATGTTTTAAAACAAAGGCAAGTAACAAAACTATCTTCAAAAAAGCATCTCTAAGGCATAATGTGTTAGCAGTTTACATTCAGCCCAGACTCTTGTACAGTACGTACAATACCTCGATGGTATTTTCAGAACCGTAGGACTGTACTCTAGTATGCTTAATTACTTCTTCAGAGAATAGTTATGATCATTGTACTTACTAAGGCAGGAAAGCTAATTAATACGTTAAAAATATTTTCAGAAACAAAGGATTTTACGTTATGGTTTTTTTCATTATCCAGAAAAATCAATCCAAATACCCCATTCTTTAAACTTTCACAGAGGTTTTATTGTATTTGTGCAGATATCTGAAAACATTATCATGTTGTTTGGCTTAAAATAGATGCCTTCAGGGTTCAAAATCACTGAATGCAACTACTGATTTAGCTTTAAAAGGATGAAACATGGGGAGTGAAAGACACCACAAGGATATAAAAGTATCTCAGGGTCTCTGAGTGAGAGCACCACAAAAGCACTGTAACATTGTTAAAAGATTCTTACCAGCAACCCACCTGATCTATATAACTTTTGTATTTTTTGATTTGGTCAACTGCAGTGGTCAAGTCCCCACGGTCGATGTGTTCTGCAGGAGTGTGAAGCCTCAGAGCATAGAGAAGATTAATATATTCTTCAAATCTTCGGGATGGGTACAAAAGCAGCTCTGGCAGGCTGGACAAGGCAGAAGGAAGGGTACTCTCATCTTTATCTGAAGGTCGAGGAACGCCCTGTCTTCGAGGGGCTCCAACTGTCTCTCTCTCAGAACTTACCTCAGCATCTTGGTAACAATGGTCTTATCGTGCCTCTTCAGGAAAGCCCGGAATGCTGGTGTCATTTCTCTGCACTAAAAGGTAAGAATTAAATTGTCAGAACTTTGCTCTATGAGCCCATTGTACAGCCTTCTGTCCCACCGAGCAAGCATGATCTATGGAACATTTGAAGCAAAAGGGCAGCATCGACATCTGATCAGAGTATTACTAGTGCTACTGGTATCTTCCTAATATATTAACTATAGTGTATTAGTTATACTATAGACCTGACCCTATTCACTGAACTTAATCAGTAAAGACAAGTAAGCATAGACTTTGCAACCATGTGGGCCAGGATTCGAATTAGAATAAATTGAATATGTGACCTTGTCACGTTACTTAATTTTTCTGAGCCTCAGCTTTCTCATCTGTAAAATGGACATCATATCTAATTCTGGTGAGTGGGAAAAAACAATCCTATCCATCAAGTGCCCATCGTGCAATAAATGTTATTTCATTATAGCAAAAGCTTGACTATGAATGGTATTTACCATTAGTACTGCTGTTAATTATGTTTTCCATAGTAACGTTACACGAGTGTTCCACTGTACTTAATATCTGTTAAAATGTATTCATTCATCACTATTAGGGCACTCATGAAGTCACATCCTTTTCCATGCCTGAAAGAGGTCAGTAATGCTAATTTCTAGAAATCAGATATTCACTGATTTCAATAATATTAACAGCTAACATTTATTGAGTACTTATGTGTACACACTATGCTAATGAAGTAAGTATTATTATTATCCATAGCTATAAAATTTTGGGCACCAATTTGTTTCTGATATTATGTGATGCTTTGCTCCAAGTCTTGTCTCAAGGTCAGTTGCATCGTCAGGCTGTCCAGCAGAGACTAACATCCTTGGGTGGGGTGGGAGGAACACTACACAGGAAGATGTCCTAGGGCAGGAATCACTCAGAGGCCTCTGAGCCCGCAGGCCTTCCCTGCAGGGTCTCAGTGAAGACACATGGGCGCAGTGGATACTGACAAAGTGCACTGCCCTGTGGCTGCCACGTGGCAAGACAGCGTCTGTGCCACACTTTCAATACAAATTGAGGAGGGAGAGTGATCTTATTTCTATCAGAAGAGATCCCAACAAGAGCAGCAAGTGGTGCAGAAGAGAACTGGATATTCCTGCTCAGATTCAATAATGGCATAAGTCACAACAGAGAAAACTGTTTACAGTGAGCTGTCTAGGGAATGGAAGACCAAATGTCAGACCCCGAAGTTCCTTATTTCATAGTGAGATTTCATAAGTTGAATGCCTTATTTCAAGATATATGTGGATTATTAATTTGCTTTCTACATGAGGTAGCTGACCTTGTCAAGGCCACACAGGATCGCAGTAGCAGACCGGGATCAAGGCTCAGTCTCGCTTCTACCCAATTGTTGAACCTTTTCCTGGAATTGAACCGCGGGGTGTCTGGGGCAGGTGAAAGTCTGGCAGTTTTTATGAGGATTAGTTCAATTTAACAACCAGTTCCGGGGCATTGCCGTGTATCGAGCACGGTGCTGGCCCCTAAGTCAGGGTCCCTGTCCTCAGAGTTCACAATATACAGGAGGAGAGCTGGAAGCTGAGAGCAGAGAAGAACCTCTCCTATTTATTGCAGTCCTTTGGGTTGCCGTATAACTTCCTTTCGAACTCAGAAGATCAAATAGGATAATTGATTACAACTCAGTCACTTACCTTCTCAATAGTTTTCAGAACAACAGGGTAATTGTTGAAGAAATTGGTATATGTGTTCAACTGGCTTCCAAACTTTATGACTATTTCTCCCACACAGTGAGCTGGGCTCCATTCCTGTAGTCTGTCTCTCAGGTTATCTAGAAACCCCCTGCAATATGAGAAAAGTATAGCCACGGACTATTAGCTAGAGTAACCTATAAATTTAAACAACTGATTCATTGTTATTAGTGCAGCCTTTTCCAGCCTAGTGCTTTACAGCAGGGCTGTGGTGCCATACTCTGTTCTTGACACAGAGCAGTGCAGATGCGGATGTACAGCTAGTGTTCCAACTCTAGACCAGGGAAAGAACCGAGAAGAGTCAGAGAACAGTATTCTTCCTGCAGGCTCAACCCAGCAAGTGTTACAGCTCTCTTCCTGTCTTCTAATCTTCTGACCACCCCCTTCCTTGTTCTCCTTCTGCTTTTATACCCTTAGTAGGACTCAAAAAGCATCCAATCAACTACAAGCTTTAACATCCAATCAGCAACAAGCTTTAACATCCAATCAGCAACAGGGGGATTCAAAAATTAACCAATCAGGATCATGCAACCAGCGCAGGTGGATGACAAGAGGCTGCCAAGCACCAAGCAGGCCTGGACAGCAGATGTCAGCACGGGCCCGTAGCAGGCAGCGGCAGGCAGGCTGGCCCTAGCAGCTGCCCTCTAACCGGCCACGGGCAGCGCTGGCCCTCGGAGCCACGGGGAGGCGGCAAGCAGCCGTGTGACCGGGCGCCGGGCCGCCTGACATTTTCTGCATCAGTGGCAGGAATGGGGAGCTGGGCCAGGAGGGAGCGGGTCAGCTATGGTGGGATCCCGCATTTCCACCTTAATTCCTTGAGCCAGAACCCCACACTGGCCTCCATACAGCTGCCCCTGAATGCCCCCTTCCCATGTGGCCGGGGCAGGCACGAAGGCTCACGCAGTGGTCCGGGGACAGTGCTCCACCCGCTTCCACAGCCGGATGCCAGAACCCCTCACTCGGCTATCACAGGCCTTGAACGCTGAAGAGCTTAGTTCAGCCTCTTCATTTCATAGGAGCTGGGGGCCCTTGAGGGTCAGGAGCTTACTCCGAGTTACCCAGAGAGTTACTGTGAGAGACGCACATGCTCAGTTTGTTTTCCTTGACCTCAGGTGGCTCACTTTTCCCTCTTGCGTTATGCACTGGAAAATATGCTGACCCCCAGCCTTGGGCTCTCTAAGCAAAGGATCCTTGTGGCTTAATCCCATTAAATCATTCAGTTCCTTTCCCATTGCTCAACTAGACACCGCTGATGAAGAACACCTCTCTGTGGCTCTCCTTCCGGTTGTCCGTTCATGAATAGTCTGTCTGTCAATCACAGAACGCGCAGGCACTGAGCCCCACCCTGCACACCGTGGCTGTGACCTGGGGAAGGTGTGGCCCTGGGAATCACCATTCCTGCCCACAGTATGGTGAGTGATGTGACGGAAGGCTCTCTCCTCTCTGAGGTGGTCGGGGTCCCTCCCCACGAATGGCAGAGAAGGACTGAACCTCTATACAGCTTTTAAAACAATAAAGTGTGGGCTCCTCCCGTGGCATAATGAATATTTTTAAAAATACCTATTCAGGGTTTACCTGTTGAGACTTAAAATCTGCAGAACATCAGAGAAAATGATGTGGATATTTACAGCACTCAGAATTGCTCTGTTCGATGACAATGCTGCTTTCAGTGGCGTTGCATAAATATCTCGCACAATTTCCAGCATCTGCACGTATTTTCTCTCACTCTGTAAGAGTTCCCTGACAACTCTAGTTCGCTTTTCTGCTGAGTCCATCTGGAGTTTGCTCTCCTGTAAGAAGCATTAAGCATTAATAGGAAAAAACATAATGACTCTGTTCAGGCCTCAAGAAGCCTGGAATTCATGCAGTTAGAGAAGAGGAAGCACTGAACAGTCAGGGGTCCTGGTTTCTGATATGCAAGATGGAAGGGAACCTTGATAGGGGACTGTGGAAGACCCGCCAGCATCACCCGTCCCCAGTATCACCAAATAGCCCCTCACGTCAAGCCAGGCTTATGCCTTTGTAGACAGGGGACTTTTAACCTTGGATGTAGAGGAGGGCAGATGGAAACTTTACTTTTATCCATCTATCCATCCAAATGTGTCTTAAGTGTCTTATGCTGGGTACGGGCTATATAATGATGAGAAAATGACAGAATCCTGCCTGCATGGAGGTTACAGTATGGTGAGAAGCTTTTGGGTTGTCCATTTTTATTTTCCTATTTCATTTTCCCAGTAGTGTTTTATTGATTAACCTGCAGACAGAAGAACTGAAACAAGCCAGCCCTCTGCTACGGTTTGAATGTGTCCCTTCCAAAATCCAGGTGTTGGCAGTGTGATAGCATTAACAGGTGGGGCCTTTAACAGGTGACTAGGCTATGAGGGCTCCTTCCTCATGAATGGGATGAGGTGCCCTTAGCTTGTGGAGAGATTTGGTCCTCTCTTGCCCTCCCATCTTTCTCCTTGTGAGGACACAGCAAGAGAGCCCTCAACGGATGCTGACCTTGATCTTGAGCTTCCCAGCCTCCAGATGGTGAGAAATGAATTTGTTTTCTTTATAAATTACCCAGTATCAGGTATTCTATTATAGCAGCACAAACAGACTAAGACAACCTCTCATTGTTAACTAATTTGCTTCCCTCTGGCATTTTATGAAAAACTGAAACATATACTGTTCTTTCTGTGTATTTAGGAAAAAGTATCCAGCTTGGGAGCTGTGAGCCTACCTCTCTGGCTAGCTGGGTTGCCAGATGTCCTATGTTTTCTATCCTTCCAAGTTTTCTTTTATTTTATTGGAACTAGGTATTTTTTTCCTTTTATCTATATATTTCAGAAGTTATAAGATGAACATCTTTATAATAGAAAATGGTTACAATGTTTGATTTTTTTAAAGAATGTAATGCCCTTGTATTTGAGCCTAGAATTATTAATACTGTAGAATGCAATTGCCTCTTTCCCTCCAGCCCTAGGTATACCCCACAGTGCTCCAAATAAACAAGATGATACTGCTTCTGCTGCTCCTGCTGCTGCTCATGTCCTCATGCCGTGCAGAACCTCTTTTGTGAAGAAGCAGCTAAGGGGGTTCCAGCACTCACCATTGCTGGAAAAAGCCAAGGAAGGAGTCAAGTTGGATCATATTAATTTGAACATGGTAGAGCCGGACAGTTCTCAGGTACCATTTAAGATTAAGAGTAAACTAATGGGCCGGGCACGGTGGCTCACGCCTATAATCCTAATACTCTGGGAGGCCAAGGCGGGCGGATTGCTCGAGGTCAGGAGTTCGAAACCAGCCTGAGCAAGAGTGAGACCCCGTCTCTACTATAAATAGAAAGAAATTAATTGGCCAACTAATATATATAGAAAAAATTAGCCGGGCATGGTGGCGCATGCCTGTAGTCCCAGCTACTTGGGAGGCTGAGGCAGCAGGATTGCTTGATCCCAGGAGTTTAAGGTTGCTGTGAGCTAGGCTGATGCCACAGCACTCACTCTAGCCTGGGCAGCAAAGCGACACTCTGTCTCAAAAAAAGAAAAAAAGAGTAAACTAATGAAGGCCTGTTGAGAATGACAGACAGGGTTTGTTGGTGAGGGAGATTAGATTCCAATGTGACAGGCACCCAATCAATGAAGCAAACACACCAGCGCGGTTGGAGACAGAGGTGGACGATATAATTGATGTGTTCCAGTGGCAGACAGGAGGTGTCTACTGCAAGGGGAACCTGCTATTTACTCCAGAGGGCTGTCCTTATAGACCAAGAACACATTCTCAATTAGAAAACTACAATTCAGTTCCATCATATCCTATGCCAGTATAGTTTTCTCTATTCTTTCATTTCCCCTTCCCCATTCCTTTATTGTACACCAAGTAAGTGGTGTACGTGCACAAGCATTTTTAAAATTAATGGCCAATGGGATGTGTTGATCAATATCAGAATGGAGGTGAGATGGGGAAAAATACTGGTTCTGATTCTGCAAAAAGACTCACTTTCTCCCTCAGTGGCATGATCATTCAGCTCTTATGTTTATATTCCAATGAGGTTTTTTTTGCTCTCACTGTTTTAACTCTCTCTATATATATCCTTGCCTACCTTGTTTGGTTAGAGAATTTTGATGCTTTTCACTTATCATTGTAAAACCAAGGACAATTTTATAACATTCTTGTATGTAGCTCTTACATGTAGGGCAATCTGTCTTTAAGTGAGAATAAATTACTTGAAAAAAATGATTCCTAGATAGTTTTCTCTTCAAGTTAAGCATCTTTTTGTTTAAAGAAATGTCTTGGGCCGGGCGCTGTGGCTCACGCCTGTAATCCTAGCTCTTGGGAGGCCGAGGCGGGCGGATTGCTCAAGGTCAGGAGTTCAAAACCAGCCTGAGCAAGAGTGAGACCCCGTCTCTACTATAAATACAAAGAAATTAATTGGCCAACTGATATATATATAAAAAATTAGCCGGGCATGGTGGCGCATGCCTGTAGTCCCAGCTACCCGGGAGGCTGAGGCAGAAGGATCACTCGAGCCCAGGAGTTTGAGGTTGCTGTGAGCTAGGCTGATGCCACGGCACTCACTCTAGCCTGGGCAACAAAGTGAGACTCTGTCTCAAAAAAAAAAAAAAAAAAGAAATGTCTTGTTTGAAATGAAAAATATACACATATGTAACAGTACTAAGTGTAATGCTATGTGATCTTTACCAAGATGAGCCAATCATAATTTCATTAACTAAAATTAAAATGTAAAAAGTAATTTAAAAGGAATGAAAACTCACTCTGTTTGAAATCTATAAACACATTGTTCTTGGTTACTCAAGTATTACCTTCCAAAGACATGATCTGTATATAAAACTGATTTAGACATATCTAATGAGTTAAAAATTACATCTGCATCCTACTTGCTAGTTGGCTTGTAGTCCATTATTATATTTTTCTGTGCATTTATGTATGTATATGTGTTTGCATATTGGAGTTATCCAACATTTACAATCATTTTGACTTAAGGTTGTCATTGTCAAACCTTTCATTGTTGTTTTAAAACCATTGTCAGATATTATTATCAGTAGTCAGATGAAATACTATTATACTCACTGCACTATGTAAATACACTCCTCCTTGGTGATTCCTGGTGGATTTGGGGGTGAGTGAGCGAGCATACATGACCTGGGGTCCATAGCCTGCACCATCTGTAGTGAGTTGACACACCTGGGGTGTCAGAGGTCTGGGAAAGACCCTTGGGTCTGAACTCAGGGATGAAGCATTTAAGGTTTTTTTCTCTCCCAATTGTCTGACCTTAGGGAAGCCATTTAACTTTTCTAACTCTAGTTCTGTCTATGAAATGCGGCTAGTAACATCTACTTTACAGGATTCTGAGAATGAAATGTGATAAAAGTGTATGTGTTTTGAAGAATACAAAACAGTACATACATGCCAGGGAAGACAGTAGGACAGGACCCGCTACCACAGCTGCTGCGGCTTCTTCTGCACGTTACCCTTTTTAGACAGAAAGATGGAGCCCTAAACATTATCTGCATTAGAGTCAACTTTTAAAGTCAGACCATAAGTTGGTAGGTCAGTTAGAAACTGTGAGCCTTTGTCCATGTGCCATTTCCTTAAATGACATCCTCGTATCATATTGGAAAACCATGGAGTAACATGCAGATTGGTTTTGCTCCCAAGATGTAACATCTCCATTCTTCTGGCTCAACTTCTTCTTCAGTCCAGGGCTTATTTGAAAGAAAAATCTATGAGCTGGATTCCCCCGATTATATTTGGGTTTTTTAAAGCCCCCTAAGGGAAATTTTCAAGGAAAACAAAGAACTAACCAGAATAAAGGCTGAAGCTTCACTGCCAGGAGCAAAACAAATGGTACATTCATGGGATGTAATAATCGGCTTACCAGTTTCAGCAGTGCTTCAAGATTTAGATCGTTTTTGCTGAGACTTGACTTTGGGTCCTGAGAATTATCTTCTGTGATGTTTCCTTCCTGAAGATTAATTGGAGAGTTGATTATTTGGATGTAGGCTTGGGAACTCCACAAGCCCAGCCGGTACGCTGTGCCCATGAGGCCCTGTGGAAGCCACCTGCCTGCAGCCATGACCACAGCGGGCCCTAGACACAATGAATGAAGCGTTTGACAAGTGGGATGGCTCTCTTAAATTTTATGTTTTAAGAAAATAACCTTTGTTTTCTTTTAAACTACATTATACTTAAGAAACTAAACTCACTGAAGCTCCCTTTTCCCTGGGAAGGAGGGAGGGAGTGATACTGCTATGCCAGGTCTCCTCCCTTGCAGGCTTAAAGAATCACACACATTCTTCCACCTTGGCTCTGCTCTGTAGCTTCTCAGTTGACCGCAAATAGGTTATCCTATTTTTAGGATGCCAGAGGGAAAAAGCTAACAACACTGTTTAAAATTCTCCCCCTTTTCACCTAATGACAATGTGTCATTAACAATTCAAGTGCCCTTTCTAGGCCTGTGCATTTCAGTCTGGCTGCTCCTTTCTTCACTTTACCTTGTGGATCGTTCTTGTTGTGGCCTCCATATATAATTTAGCACATTAAAAAATGAGTCCCCACCCCCAACCCCTACTGCCTGCAGCATCCCAGAGTCCACCTAGCGATGGAACAGTGGTCCCATGTTTGTAGTGAGAGATGAAGGTGATTTTTTTTTTTTTTTTTTTTGAGACAGAGTCTCACTTTTGTTGCCCTGGCTACAGTGAGTGCCATAGCGTCAGTCTAGCTCACAGCAACCTCAATTTCCTGGGCTCAAGCGATCCTCCTGCCTCAGCCTCCCAAGTAGCTGGGACTACAGGCATGCACCACCATGCCCGGCTAATTTTTTGTATATATATTTTTAGTTGGTCAATTAATTTCTTTCTATTTTTAGTAGAGACGAAGTCTCGCTCAGGCTGGTTTCGAACTCCCGACCTCGAGCAATCTGCCCGCCTTGGCCTCCCAGGATTACAGGCGTGAGCCACCGCGCCCGGCCTGAGGCGAAGGTGATTAATGGTCATGGCTGCTGCCTTCCGAATCAAAGATAAAGCTACCAACGGTAATCCCTTGCTGTCCAGGGCGAGGCTGGAAGAAAAGCATCAGTTTGTATGTATGACTCCTTTACCTTACTTTACTCAGGCAAAAATGAATTTTTATTTAGTAGCTGCCATATTCCTGTGGCAGCCCGCTGCCTTTGTACAAGAGCCCTGGTCCTTGAACTGCGGCAGGAAGCTCTAGCCCTGGGTGTCAGGAGGCCCCGCCAGAGCCTAAACATGTCGCGTCTGCTGCAGGGAGTCATTCACTCATTTCTTTTGTCCTCCCCAGACCAGCCTGGCATGTATTTATACTTACGGCTGGGGGAAAATAATCTACTTTGAATTGTGACAAAATAATTCAAAATTTCTCTCTGACTGGAACACACTCTTCTTTATAAGTAAATAACAGTGCTGATTATGTATAGTAGAGAGAGAACTTCAACGAGTCAGTGGTGACACCAATGGTTGTGGAGGTAGAAAGTGGTTGCAGACGTAAAATGAAAATCAAGCTCCCATTGTTTGGGCCAAAATTAAGATCACCCAAACAGTACAGAACCATAGTGTGGCTCTCACAGGTAAGAGAGCCACCTTTACCTGGGATATCGCCCCATTGTAAGGCTCACTTGAATGTTCACGCATTAAAATTCAGGTGTCAGCGTGGACCCGCAGCCCGCCATGGCTAATTCAGAACCTGCTTGCTCACCGTGGGGCTTGGTTTCCCCTCTGGTCAGTGGCGATGTTTTAAAATATACATTTTCTGTGTGTGTTTAGGAAATCAATTGGGCATAATAATTTTGTTTGAACCTAAAATTGGCAACTTCCCTCATTCTATATTATACATTTAATTGCTAGAATATTTTGAACTTTTTAAAAGATTAAGATGCCATCTCTTACTTAGATTTTAGGAATAAATCCAGAGGAAGTAACAGGAGCAACAAACTTTGTACATTTATAGGAAAAACTCTTAATTTGGGTTGGCGAGTCTTTCCTTGGCTCTCCCCATGACACACGTGAGGGAAACCATAAGAAATCAGCTTGCAGAAATAGGCTTTGAGCACGTGGAAGGAATTTTCCTCTAGGATTGAGCACAGGCAGACACTGCATTTTCCAGAGACAATTCTAGTTATTGCTGATGCTTCTGCCAGAAAACACTCGGCTGCCTGGATTCAAAGCCATAAATAGTTGTGAAAATGACAGGTAGAGCTCAGGAACTATGATTCTGGCTGCCACCCATCACCATGGTTGCATGGTCTCAGCATAAACACTACAGGCAGACAAAAACCAGGAATAAGTAACAATTGGGCAGCAAGAGAGACAGAGAGAGATGATAGCTAGATAGAAGCACACACAGAGTCCTAGATTTGACAGACAACCCTATTTCACAAGCCCCTATGGAAGGGTCTTTAAAACAAATATCTCAGAGCAGTTTTCACTTTCCCCTACTACGGCTCCTGAGGCTTCTGAACGAGTATCCATGCTGTTAAAAATAAACCCTAATGTGAGCTGAAAATCAGCTTTTCAGTTTTATCCTAATTCAGCACTTACATTTAAGCTATAGTTCTTCCTCCTAGAGGGCCCCAAATTTGTTTTGTGGGCTTTGTGCAAAAGCTCTTAGTGTTAAATAATAGAAAACCAAATGAGAATCTAACACACATTTTTTTCTAATTTGATTTAAAAAAGAAAAACATCAAAGAAATTTCTAGGCATTAAGGAGTTTTGCATTTCTCTAGTTTTGTTACAGGCAGACAATGTGAAAACAGCAGGCCTGATTTCTAACAATGAGGCAACTTCAAGCCCAAATTTCATGCATTATTTTATTAATGTCATTAGATGTTTAAGTCACAGCAGGTTGAAAAGATTTGATTCAGTGTGAATTTTATTATATTTGGGAGAGGAAATCTAAGATAGTCAAAGAGTGAAAGTGACTTGAGAGGAAATTCTCCAATTGACCATTCCCTTAGTTGTCAAAGATTCCAGAAATGGTTCTCACCAATAGTGAAGTTTTTCAAACATGAAAGTGATGTTTCAGAAGAGGAAGCACCTATCGTTTTGCCCTTACTGCTTTCTTCAAGTTTTCTTGCTCCAAAGAGGAGCATTTATGGGGTCTATATGCCTGGGGCTTGGGGTAACAGATTAACCTTTAGCAATAAATATGGATGAAAGAACTCCAGTAGGTTTCCAGGGAGGCAGGAATCAGCTGACGTTGAAAGGATTTGGGAAGAATTTAGAACCTTGGAACTTTTGTAACGTGCTTCTGTGTTGATCCTTCCCTTTATTGAATCAAGGGAAAATGAGTGGTATTGAGGCCTGGGTGCTATTTTTCAAAGGCTATCACAGGCTGAAGGATGGATGGAGACTATGTCCACCCCAGGGGGGAAGAGTCCTCAAGAACTACCCCCCCCAAAATGGTAGCTGCCACAACAAGGCAAAAGCAGCAGCCTCTGAGAAACAGAAAAGAGAGTGTGGAATAAACACCCAACCCAGCATGCCCACCCTGCCTGTGCGTTCTGTGGACAGGCACTGATCACAGCATGGCGTCTGTTTGTGTGCAGGTCTCATCTACTACAACGGCAGGGACCGTGTCTGATTTTGCTGCCTGGTCTCATCTTTAGCACAGTGCCTAGCGAATGGTTAGCTCCTATAAATATTTAGGGAACTGAGCTGAAAAGATGAGGAATTGCCCTCTTCCTGAGAAGACATCCGTGAGAGTTTCCTGAAAAGAACTAACTCTGGACTAAAGATAGATTTGGGGAAGAAGCATCAGGCAAGCAGGGTTCCTATATAGAAATGGTTGAGATGCCCCAGAAAGGTCTTTATTAGCGTTCCTCTCAGGGAGATGTTTGTGGTTTGGAAGGATTAAACTAAGGCTCAGGCTGTGGCAACAGCAGGAAGGTGGGTCTAGGCTGTGTGTGGTGGCTCACACCTGTAATCTCAGCACTTTGAGAGACTGAGGTGGGAGGACTGCTTGAGGCCAGGAGTTCGAGACCAGCCTGGGCAACATACTGAGATCCTGTCTCCACAAATATAAGAAAATTAGCCAGGAATGGTGGCACACACCTCTAGTCCCAGCTACTCAGGAGGCTGAGGAGAGAGGATTGCTTGAGCCCAGGAGTTTGAGGTTGCTGTGAGCTATGATGACCCTATGCACTCCGGCCTGGGCAACACAGCAAGATCCTGTCTCTGAAAAAACAATCAAAAAAAAAAAAAAAAAAAAAAAAACAAAGGGCAGGTCTGAACAACTGCAGGCCTTTTGTGTTGCTGAGTGAGTTAGAGGCAACTTGGCAGAGGGGACCCCGCCCGCTGCCACCAGCAGTTCTGCATGTCTGCCCTTGACCTGCCCTGTGTTCTCCTCCAGAGGAGCATGAGCAAATTCCTCCAGACTGTCACGTTAATAGTGCAACAAACGATTTGGCTGCTAGGGGAGCTCAGAAGTCCATTTCTGCTAACAGTCTCCATGGAGAGTTTGTGTTAGGAATTGGCATCCCACACCTTCAAACATCAAAGATAGGTGACTTTGCTATGGACATAAAATGGTTCTAAAATGACATTTCCCCCTACATAGAAATCAGCCCTCTGAATGATAATGCAATTCTCAGCATTTCCTGCATCCTGATTATTTCACACAACCAAGAATGTATGGATTCTGAATATAGTACTGGCAAAATTATTCTTTCTTGCCTGAAGAACTAACTTTAAATCCACTTTTTTCTTTTATGAATTTGAATCCCAAGGAAGAAAAAAAAAGAACCATTTTTAGTGTTCTCTCTCTTCCTCTCTCTCTCTCTCTCTCTCTCTCTCACACACACACACACACACACACATACACACACTCTCTCTCTCTTTGTCTAAGGACTAAACTAAGTGGCAAAGAAAAATGCAAATTTCTAATTCTTCCTCTACAACCAAACAGTGTTCTTCAAGTCAACATAGTGCAGCTTATGCTTTTAAGTGGCTTTAAATGTTATTCATATTATGAAACTACAAAACACCCTTGTTTATAATAGTCCACGAAAATGAAGTTCTTAGGAGAAATAACAACTTGAAAGCATTCTGGGCATTAATATCATTATGGTTTATGAATTTCTTCACCACATGTGCCTAATTCTACAGCAAAGCAATGACATAAAAATATAGCACCAAGTTTACCTTCATGAATCCATTGAATGCTGCCTTTGGGTCACATTTTGTCAGAATAACATTTCCTTCCAAATCTTTGCTCTTTTTACCACATTTCTTCAGCAGAAAATATGACAAAAATTCCAGAGGTCTGTCCTAAAAAAATACCCCCCCCCCAAATTTCTATTTAAGACATTGATCTGAAATACAGTGCATCAACAATGTAGCAGAAAAGAGAACACATTTTTTAGTAGAGTTTTCAGCTTTCTACCCAATTAATCTTCATGTCCAGAAACAAAGTGACTATCACTCAGAGTCAGTACGTAGGACTTTCTAGTTAGTCTTATATTTCAGTTACCATATATACTCTTGGTTTTCAACTTTTTGTCCCCATCCAGTTAGGATGCTAAAGTCCTGTGGGAGGGTCTCTCAAGATCTTTGGAATCAAAGTGGCCCATACCAACCTCTTGGCCAAGTGAGGAAAGGAGACAAGGGGGATCTTATTGTTTCCAGGGGGAAGAAGGCCTGGGAGAGAGGCAGCAGCAGCAGAACTTCAGGAAAAACATTCTGAGGCTCTCAAATGTGGTGTCCTCTCAGTTTATAGGTTTGAACACTATCAAAATTATATCACACATGATAATTTTTAAATAATTAGGTGGGAATAAGTACATTGAATCTACACCAGATATGTTTAGTATGTCTTTGGTGTTTTGGGAGACATGCAGGGTCATCTCTGTGAACGTCCCTGCTCATTTTATCAGCAAAGCTTGCCAGGGACTGCCCAAGCACATGGGGCTGCCCGAGCATCGGCAAGGTTGTCGAGCTGTCTTTGGAGGAGAAAAATCACGGCAAACTGCAGCTTCTCAGAACCCACACTGGGCAGGACAGCTAAGCCTGCAGGTTGTCTAGTGCTGACCCAGGAGGCTACGTTGAAATCAGAGCAGATACACAACAATACGGCGAGAGAACATGCACAGAGATCATATTAAATCCATCCACAAAGTAGAACTATGACAGTGGAAGAGAAGGATTTGAGAATGTTTCCCTAGAAAACTGAAGACCTTGTAGAGAATCATCCTTATTCCCATCCTAGTCCAGACTTCCCCTAAACGGAGAGCTGCAGACTTCACTTTCCTATAACCTTGCGTCTTCAGGGCTGAGAGAGCAGGCCTGTGGTCTGGCCTCCCCTCACTGACTTTCCTGGGAGAGTATCCAGGATTTGTTTCTGATGAAAACGCTGCTCCAGGCTGTCCACACACACACACACACACACACACACACACACACACCTGCCGCCGCCCCCCCAACCAAATCACTGATGGCTTAGTTATGTTCTTTTGTGTTTTCTCTCTTCCTCTCTTATCTAGCCCCTTTCCCTTCATCTTATTACATCTGGCTTCACCCTTTCTCAGGTTTTTCCTCATACTAGTAATTGGTTTTACTGTTGAATAATGTTTATATGACATAAAAAAAAACCATTAACACATTTTTAAAGCAGTCGCTTCTGACTGAAATTAAGCACAAGACAGAAAGCAGTGCACGATACAATAAACTTTAAATAACCTAGAAGATTTCCCCACTTGTCTGTTTTGTGTACCTAATACATCTTGCACCCAGAATCTCCCAGTGGCTGTTTCTATAAACTGATGTAATTTCTCTGAGGACTGTGCTCTGAAAGGGATAAGCCAGTAAAAAAAAAAATGATAAAGGCAAACTAAGAATTTATTTAAATGTTGGGGTTTTTATATTCCTCTTTCTTCAAAAAATCACTTACAGAACTTTCTTCTGACAGCTCCATCAGCCCATCTGCCAGAGCCTGTGCAGTCTCCTGGTTATTCAGCACGTGGGCCACACTCATGGTGTCAAACATAAGCTGCCCTGTAAATACAAGGCCACATGCCCTCTAATTAGTTTATGTAACAGATGTGATAGAAAAGAAAACAACTCTGTCCTCACACTTGCTTTTTAGTGGGAAATGCAAAAAATAGAAGTCAAAATTCCATTATGCCATGAGGATGTCTATTATGCTAAGATATAAAATGAGCCAAAGCAATTCAAATGTGCAGCATATAAAAAGTACCCATCCTGGCAAAGTGGATATTGAAATGAAATCTATAAATTGGACGATAAGGGTCGAACACATGAAAAAGAACCCTATACGTTTCCTATAAGTTTAAATGTTAACTTTCAGTCCTATCAAAAATTCCTCTACACTCCCTTTATCTTTGTGCTCAAATACATAAATATTTTAAGTCCATAGGAAATAGCACACAAACATACATACACAGACATCTTTTAATTTTTTAAACACTTTGAACAACATGCATTTATTTGAAAACATTTTCTCTCGACTTCTCATTGTCTACATCTATCATCAAAAAATTGTCTATTTCTATCTTTAAAAAGATTACTTTTCTGCTTTTCTTTCTAGTCCTTAATATCGATGAAAGAACCAAGAGAAATAATTTCTCCCTGTTTATAGCTTCAAAACTATTTTTTTTTTTTTTTTTGAGACAGAGTCTCACTTTGTTGCCCAGGCTAGAGTGAGTGCTGTGGTGTCAGCCTAGCTCTCAGCAACCTCAAACTCCTGGGCCTGAGGGATCCCTGACTGCCTCAGCCTCCCGAGTAGCTGGACTAACAGGCATGGCACCACCCATGGCCGCGCTCATTTTATTCCTAATATACCCCCTTCCCTTTTAGTTGGCCAATTAATTTCTTTCTATTTTTAGTAGAGATGGGGTCTTGCTCTGGCTCAGGCTGGTTTTGAACTCCTGACCTTGAGCGATCCACCCATATCAGGCTCCTAGAGTGCTAGGATTACGGGTGTGAGCCACCGTGTTTGGCCAAAACTATTTTTAAATATTGGTTGAACACCTCCTAAATGTGATAGAGTGGGTAGGACATAAACACAAGAAGACAAATCCCTGTTTTGGAGACATTATGTAAAGAAGTATAGGACATATATCAAAAGATAAAATATCTGCATGCACACATGTGTGTTTACAGCTCTTGTATAGATAGTAACTATGTAAATAGACCTTAAAAAAGGAGTTGGGCAGAGGAAAAGAAGAGAGGCATAGATATGGAATGATTTGATGATAAATGATGTTTTAGTCAGATGAGAAAAGTTAGGAAAAAATTGGATAGGTAGTTATAAGTGGGGAAAAAAGTCTCATTACCCAAATGGTGAAAAATACTTCATTTTTAGAAATGGACTGATTTAGGTGAAGATGCAAAGTTGAGGCAGTAAATTGTTTCCAGAAGGCTCTATTGTGATCATTGGATCGTGGGGATGCAGCGTGGAGGAGAAATAAATTCAGTGATGTACAATAGGCTCAGCAAAGGCCATGGAGCCCATCACCAAAGTACATATTTTAGATAAAAAATAAATAGGACTTTTAGGTACTGGGTGCTGTGGTATCAGAGGTGCTTAACTTTTAGTGCAAATTCTAGTAGGAAAAGGACACAGTTCTCCAGCTTAGCAAACACAAATTTTGTCTAGGTAAATAATTGACAGACATAGATAGGAATTAATAAAATAGTAACATTTTAAAATAGGAACTAGCTTTAGCATTTTTATTATAAGATGAATATATTTGTTCTTAGTATTCATTATATTTGAAAGGCAATGTGAAAAACCTAGGGGATAAAGTTTTACTAAAGATGTTAAAAAGTTAAAATTTATTTGCACCATTCCTAAACTTGTATTTGCTCTGAGTATGAAACCAAGTTCATGATTAACCTGTGAAAGAAAGAGCCAGAGTTCTTGCCTATCATCCTGCCGCTGATGCTCTTCTGCAGCTCCTTGAAGAGAGGACGTAACTGTTTCCTGACTGGTTTCAAGGAGTCTTCCAGGAAGTCTGTGAGGCTGGACCACGTCTGCAGCTTTGATTGGCTGAAGTAGATGGAAGGGGGCGCCCTTTTCCTCGGGGGTCCCAGCCAGTCACTGAGAACTGACATTATTTTCTCCTTTTATTCTTGCAGACTTGAACTTGAGAGAATTCTACTTTGTGTTTAAAGTACAGCACACACTTAGCTGTATTTGTATCAGGTTTGTTAACCTTTCTCATTAGAAGATTAATGAACACTCATAGTCTGTTTTTGAAAGTAAATTGAGAAACTCAGTGAATCATTTCCAATGCCTGCCTACTCTTTGATAGACAAGGTGACACATTCTATTTAAAGTCAAAAATTAAATAGCTGCAGAATTTTCATCAGGAAGCAGAGTGGTCATCTAAGTGAGAATATAGTGCTTTATCTTCCCAGTCTAAAAGTGACAATACATGAAATCCCACCCTGCCTGGTTTCCCCATCAGGCCGTTGAAAGCCAACCCCATTGTAGCCAACCCTGCATCTTCCTTAAACTCTGTCCGACTGCTGCTTCGCTCTACAGATATCTCTATGTGACTGTAGCGGGTGCTTAAGAAAGTTTCTGTCCTTGAAAAGCAACGGTATGTTAAATTTGATTTTCTGTCCTGAATGGAAAGGTAGTATTTGCTTTGTTTCCTCTACTTTTATCGATAGACATGTGAAGCACTTTATAACATGTTCTTTTATAAAAAGAATGAGGAAAAGAAGGGAAAAGGAGGGTGAACAGGAGGAAGGGGAGGCAGAGGAAGAGAAAAAGAAGAAAACCTGAATTGCAAGCAACACCATCCTCACCCTGCTGTGCTCTGCTAGGCCAGTCCCACTCTCTGCGGGGCCAAATATGCTGTCATTTGGTGATGTTGCTACAGTGACTAAAATTAACAAGTGCCTCTGCTTCAACACTATATTAGGTCAATGTACTTTTGTTATAGCTACATACAGTCTTCTCCCTTACAAGTTCCACAGTCACGCCAGCTCTCCCCAGTCCTGGAAGGCATGTGAGAGTAGAGAAGCCATGCTTTATACAGTCTCTACATCACTCCAAGCCCTGCTTAAGAGGGAATCTAGGAGATTTCAAAAGGGGAAATGATTGGTATTGCTATAACAAAGCAATTTAGTTCCCTCGTTGGTCAGCCAGTGTTACATTTTAATCTGTGGCTTTAGTATCTAAATGAAAGTTTGCTTTCAGGTGTATTTTCTCCTCTCAGACAACACTACAGAAATGGAAACTAAGAGAGCTTCTTTGCCATCTCTTTGTAGCTACAATTCATTTTTCCAAATAAAACCATATCGATTGTATTTTACTAAGAAAACCTATTCTTTGTACTTATTTCTCTAGATCAGCAACTATACATCTTGGCTTAACTGTTAAAGATGATGTTTTCAACAGTTTTGCAAATGATGGTTTGAAGCAAAATATTTGCAATAAATAATCCCCGTCTAAGCAAATGACTGAACGATGAGAGATTACCTAACATGTTTCCCTGAAAATAAGACCTACCCATAAAATAAGCCCTAGCAGGATTTCTAAGCATTTGTGCAATATAAGCCCTACCCTGAAAATAAGACCTAGTGATGGGCGTGGCTATGCAGCGTATCTGCACAACCCATGCATTTCCTCGTGGAGCAGTAAAGAAGACAGCAGCCCCTCTCATCTGCCTCTTCGTGACAGCTACTATCCCAGAGGTGACCAGAAAGGTGCGGGCAGCCCCACCATCAAGGTCGGCTCCCCCTGACAGGTCCCAGCCATCCTGTGCGTGCTGCAAGCTGAGGCTTTGAGGGGAAAATAACACATCCCCTGAAAAGAAGCCCTAGGCTGTCTTCTTGAGGGAAAATAAATATAAGACCCTGTCTTATTTTCGGGGAAACATGGTAGTTTGGGAAGTGATAGCATCCCTTCAGAGAAGGAATGAAAGACAGGCATTGATATTGGCCATACCAGTACTGTTAACTGTACTTTGTCTTCTGTTGATCCTGGAGTGAGTGTGTTATTGGGCATGATGGTCACCTCCCATGTATACTCACTGTGTTGGTAAGAGCCAGTTGCAATGCCGGTAGGGGCAGTAAAGAACGTGCCAGTGAGTTGAGCCAGCTGAGAAAGAACTTCCATTCCTGCCTCTGCATAGTTAAAAATATTTTCATTAATTTATTGACAGATTTTGCCATGAAACAGTTAAATATTACTTGGGAGCACTAAGGAGCTGGCCAAAAAAGGCCACTAGCAGTTCTCGTCTTCCATTCAAATCCCTCCAGTGAAGAGCCCATAAACACTTTATTATAGTTCACCCATAAATACTGTAGCTGAAGCACTTAATTTATGAAGATTAAGCAACAGGGTGGGGAAAGAGGCCCTGAAGTTTGATCTAGGGCTTATTTTCAAATTTGTAATGCTTAGTCCAAAGACAGAGAAAAATCTACATAGATTTTCTAAAATAGTCTGACTCAAAGGAGAAGTCTCATTGTAAGAGGAAAGATTTAGAACAGTTAAACACAGGATGGAATATGATGGTTAAAATGTAGTGGGGCATTAATTTCACCCATTTGTCAGTGACATAATATATAGATTGAATTACTGAATTCAGCATACAGATTGAATTACTTGAATGAAACTAATATAATGGATAATTTAATTATTTGTCATCCAAGCATAAACAATCATTCCAAAATGCTTCAGTTACTGCTAGAAACAAAATGACAGTAGCTGAAAGGTTGGAATGTCTCTCACTTATTGGTGTCTAATATCTTCATTGACAAATAGATCAATGAAATAAGAGAGTCCAAAAGTGGGCCTACACATATATAGTCAATTGATTTCAACAAAGGTGCAAATGAAATTCATTGGGAAAAGGATAGTAGTTACAAGGAATAGCAATGGAACAATCAGATATCCATATGTCAAAAAAATTAAACTCAACCCTTATGTTATATTCTAAAAAAAAACAACCCAAATGAATGAATCAAATGGATCACAAATCTAAATGTCAAACTTAAAACTATAAATCATTTAGAAAAAAATAGAGAAAGTCTTTGTGATCTTGGTTAGGTAGAGAGTTTTTAGCTATGACACCAAAAGCATGATCTACACAAGAAAAATTTCATACATTTGACTTCATCAAAATTAAGAACTTCTCTTCAAAAGAAACTATTCAGAGAAGGAAAATATAAGTCACAGACCGGAGAAAATATTTGCAAATCACTTGCTGAGAATACATAAACAGCTCTCAAAACATAATAAGAAAACAAACAACCAAGTTTTTAAAATGGGCAAAAGATTGAGACACTTCACCAAGGAAGACATATGAATGGCAAATAAGCACATGAAAAGATGTTGGGTATCATTAGTCATTAGAAAAATGCAAATTAAAACCACAATGAGAGATCACCGCTACACACCAAACCCATTTGAATGGCTAAAATTAAGTATTGGAGTGCTAGGCAACTGGAGTTCTCATATGCTTCTAGTAGAAATGTAAAATGGTAAAACCACTTTGGAAAACAGTTTAGCTGGCTTTTAAAAAATTAAACATATACCTATTATATGACCTTGCCATTCTACTCCTAGGTATTTATATGAGAGAAATGAAGGCATATGTTCACACATGTTCATAGCAGTTTTATTTGTAACAGCAGAAACCAGAAAGAACTCAAAAATCCATCAACAGATGAATGGATAAACAATTTGTGGTATATCTGTATAATGTAATAAGTCCCAGCAAGAAAAAGGAAGGAGCCATTGATACATGCCTTAAATGGATGAGTCTAAAATAATGATTCAGAGTGAAGGAAGTCTGAGAAAAAAAGAATACATGTTGTATGATTCCATTTGTAGAAAATTCCAGAAGATGCAAATATGAGGGAAAGTAGATCAGTGGTTGTCTCAGGTTGGGGGGGCAGAGAAGAGAGAGAGAGAGAGAGCGAGCGATATCACAGAGTGGCATGAGAGAACTTTTGGGACTAATGAATGTGTTTGTTTTCCTGACTGTTTTTATGGTTTCTTAGGTATACAGATATCAATATTTATCCAGTTGCATGCTTTAAATACGTACAGTTTATTGTGTGTTCATTATACCTCAATAAAGTTGTTTAAAAATTTAAAAATAATGCCCCCCAAAAGATGAGTCTTAAATGTTTGGCTTGTGCAGTAACCAGGTGAATAATGTTTTTACTGAGGAATTTGAGGAAGGGCCAGTTTTGGTGCTGGGGAGGTAATCAAGAATTTGTTTGAGGTGTGTTCACTTTGAGATGATGTCTGTTAGACATGCACATTAAACATCCATATGAAGAAGTCAAGTTGGAATTAGATATAAGAGTCTGTAGCTCAGAGATGTCATAGCTGGAGACAAATTTAGAAGCCTTCAGCATACAGATGGAACTTAGAGTCATAAGAATTAATGAGACTGCCAGAAGGAGAGTGTGTATGTGGAAAAGGAGAGAATCTAGGATCAAGTCCTGGGGCATACTTAAGGGTCTTGCACAGAAAGAGGAGCCTGCAAAAGGGCTGAGAAGGGGACACTGAGGTAGGAGGATGCAAGGAAAGGAGATGCCAAGAGAAGAAGGAGTGTTCCAAGGGGGAGTGTTCATCTGCCTCCAATGCTTCTAAGAAGTCAAAACAAAGTGAGGATGGAGCAGGGACTCCTGGATTTGAGCATGTGGAAGTCAAATATAGTCTTCCAAAAGCAGTTTCAGTGGAGATAAAGAGACCCCTTGGAGGAACATGAGGAGAGGATGGGAGGCGAGGAGGAAGAGGCAATGAGTATGGACCAGTGGGTCTCGGAGTGTGGCCTGGAACCAGCAGCATCACCGTCAGCTGAGAACCTGTTAGGAATGAAAATCCTCCAGCCCCACTCTGGACCTGAGTCTGAAACTCTAGGTGGGGCCCAGCAATATGGATTTTAACAGGCTCTCCAGGTGATTTGAATACACACTAAAGTTTGAGAACCATTGGTTTAGTCAACTTAAAAAGAAGTGAGGGAAAGTTTATTGTCTTTTTTTTTTTTTAGACAGGAGATATTACAGGTGCTCCCGATTTGGTAGGAGTGATCCACTGAAGAGAGAGAAATGAGGCTTAGGAGAGGATTGGAGTGTAGGAGTGAAGTCTTGAGGAGGTGGGAGGCAAGGGGAAAGAGTCCAAGTGAAGTGGCTGGTCTTGTTGCAGCAGAGGTGCTTCGGCCATCAGAGCAGAAGGGAAGACAGGGAATGAGAAGTATGGGGTGAGGTCAATGGTGGATTTGATGGTGGGAGGAGAATTAGGGAGTTCTCATGTGACTCAGTTTTCTCAGGGAAGGAAAAGGTGAGGTCAAAAGTGGAGAGACAGGGCTATTGAAAGATTGTCTAAAGAGAAGAGATAAAATCATCATCTCAAAAAGTAAGAAAATGAATTTACCAAGAAAATGTCAAAGGATTGCACATCAGAGTTGCAATCCCATTTGACATTGGTGTCATCAAAGTAAAGTTAGACCAATTGACACAGCTGTATTAATATTACTTTCTCCAACAGTCAGCTGCTCTTCAGCTGCTTTAGTGCAGGCAGGAATAGCTGTGCAGAGGACCGTGTTTTAACCGGCATTGGGATTTAGCCAGATGAGTTGGGATTAGCGAGCAGAAAGAGACAAGGAAGTTCAAATTCTTTGCAAGGGAGTGAGGATAATGTTGGACCATTAAGTCCAACTTTAACAAGGAAGGAAGCGAAGGTGAAGGCATGGTGGTAGAGACTGGAAAAGTGGGACTGTATAGACTGGGGTCTTAGGCAAAGAATTGCTGTAGGGGAGATATTTGAGTACCTGACTTAGAAGTGGTGCTCGGAGACAAATACCTGAGGTCACAAATTCAGGGGTGATACAGCTACTGGAGCTGACAAGCACAACAGTGATGCTGAGGTGACAGAAAAAGAGAGATTTAGGCTGAGAAGTCAAGTGTCTTGAATGATTCATCCAGGTGGATATGACATTTGATGAGAATTTTGGGGATAGTGTTAGGGCTCAGAATGATGGTAGAAAATCTATATCTATCTATCTATCTATATATTTTTGGCTGCCATTAAGTTTCACTTGAGATAATTTTTATGTCACCAAATTCACTGTTCTTTTACCTTTTTCCTCTTATTCTGCCTTTCAATACTTTGCTTTCCCATATTTTTTCTTTTATTCCACTTAAAAAATTTGCTTAATTCTCATTATAAAATTGATATTAGTTTATTATAGAAAATAGAGGTAAACAAAAGACAATTTTTAAAAGGGGAGTGGGAAAAGGAAGAAAAACACACATCATCCTATCCAACTAGCATTAACACCTTGGAATATATCCTTCCAAACCCTTTTCTACACATATGTATACACGCCATACATATGAATGTTTTAAACAGTGGGATCACACTATCCATATTCTTTGTAACCTAGTCTTTTAAACCTGATTTCAAAAGTAAAAAAATTGTAAAACACATCTAGCAATAGGTGCTGTTTTAATGTTTTGGTATATTTCTTTCTAGAATCTATGCATATTTTCTACATAGCTGAGATTATATATATGCATATACACATATGTGTATATATACACTGTACATATATACATATAATTGGATAACTATAAAATTATTTTTAAAAGATTTTTATAATATTTTGTATTTTGTTTCCTTTTAAACTCCTTCCCATCCTTTTTTGTTTTTTCCTTTCTCCTGGTTGAAGCCCACCAGAGGCATGCTTCGCATATGTCGAATAGTCCTGTGAAACCTGAGGATTAGGGAGAATCTTAAAACTCACAGTTCTCTAAGGAATGGATAATTTAATTTCACACCCCCTCTCCCCTGCTCTGCTTGGAAAAACAACTTAGCCCATGAATACAGAGCTTTTATTTAACAGATATCCAAAGGCTGAATTTGACTTAATGTTTCTGAAGTTTCCCTTCAAGCACTGAAATCAGCTCTGAATCCTAGTGGCTGATTCTAGACAGGCAGACACATAACAGCTACCTCAGTGACTGTCAATCATCTTTACAAAGCACTTCACTGCTTTTAATATTATCTAAATATTTACAGTCTTATTTCTTTTTATTGCTTAAATATTTACATGATCTTGATATTCACAAGTCCTTAAGTAAAGTAGCTATAGTACTATTATCCTAACTTCCATATGTGGAAGGTAAGGTCCACAAGCTTGCCTAAGGCCACACAGCTAAAAAGTGGCCTGGGCGGACTCCAGCTCCGGTCATTGGTTGGTTGCCAAGTTCTTACTTTCTCCAGGTTCAGGACTCAGCAGGGGGTTTCTCAGATTGAATGACTATGGTTTCTCTGCTGGTCAGGCACCTTCCCCTATATTATGGAAGCTGATTTTATTGTGTTTTCTAGAATAAATATGAATAATGCTGCTGGGTCTTGCCATTAGTGACTTTATCTCTGGGCAGGTAGGTTGTTCTAACCACTACCCCCACCCTTACTTCCCCCAAATACCTGGGTATGTGAGGTATAAATAGAGAAAAAAAATAAAAATTGAAATGTGACTGAGTCGTTTGACCTGGAGACACGTCACATATTCACAGCATGTCACCATGAAGTGGCCTATAGTGTGTTCTGAACTGACCTGACGCTCCAAGGGGCACAAAGATGTCCACGTGACCCCCTTCTTCTTCAGCAGCCACATAACTTCCTAATTTCTCCCAGAAGTTTCTCACATCAGGCCTCAGCAAATTTTTAATACCGATTTTACAGCCTGAGGAAAAAAAAATCAAAATGTCGTAATAGTTTGTGACATTATCATGAACGGAAATTATTAGCGGTTTGTGAAAATGCAACCACAGATTCAAAAGAGCAACATCTGCCTGTAAGACCAAGATCTCCAAGGCACCTCTGCTTCATGCTGCACCGTGTCAGGGCCACCACCAGGGCCACTGTCCCCTTCACACGCTGGATTACCCGGACACTGTGCACTTAGGGTTAGGACGCTGCGTTTCTGCCTCCGCTGTGCAGCGGCGTGAGTTACTAGGCTCGCGCAGGGTTCAGGGTGGGTGGCCAGTCAAGTCCTGGGAGTTTGCAACCAAGTTCCAAAGTAGCAATGTTTCCCACAATTGTCAGTCAAAAAATAAGTAGTTCGGAGCCGAGTGAAGGCTCCCAGAGATGGTAAACATCAACTGAAATTTTCCTTTTCTCTCACTTCCCAGGGATTCAGTGTGATGATGCCACTGAGCTGCTCACCTCTGCACCCATTTCTAAAGAAGCTCTGTCTCCCTGTGCCCCAGGAACAAAATGAAAACAAAGTCAGGCACAAGAATTCTGAATTTTCACTCCATTCCATTGAGAGGTCTACATACACAATGGAAAGATCTCTTCATGTGATGGGGTAAGAGATTTTGTTTTGATGTTGTTTTTAAAGCAAAAGCTTTTGGGAAAACACCACAATTATATAGAAGTAAACTAATTACTATTTTTTTTTAAAGGGCTTGGCATGTTGGCTCACACCTATAATGGAAAGACGAGGTGGGAGGATCTTTTGAGGTCAGGAGTTTCAGACCAGCCTAAACAACATAGCAAGACCCTATCTCTACAAAAAATTAAAGTATTAGTGGAGCATGGTGGTGTGCACCTGTAGTCCCAGCTACTTAGGAAGATGAGACAGGAGGATCCTTTGAGCCCAGTGGTTGGAGGTTGCAGTGAGCTATGATCACGCCACCACACTCTAGCCTGGGCAACAGAGTGAGCCATGTCTCTTAAAAAAAAAAAAAAGGAAAGAAAAGAGAGAAAAAAAAAAAAAAAAAGGAAAGAAAAGAGAGAAAGAAAAGAAAATAAGGAAAAGGTGACTTTGTAAAACCTTTCTTATCTAGAGAACAAAAATGCTGAGATCAAGAAACTATCATAGCCACTCATGTGAGGTAAACTTATGCCAGTGGTGTCACCTTGCCATTGACACCTCTACACCATTGAGAGACAAATTACCAGGTAATCAATTATAAATTTAATTCCTCCATATATAAAAATTATAAATTTATATATCCCCCCAAAGTGCTTTACTATATAAAATTGTAAATATATATATATATACTATACTATATATACTATATATAAAATTGATGTGCGACACAATTTCCTCCAGGCACAGTTAAACTAAACAAGGAAAGCTAACAATAAGGTAAAGCTAAAACACAAAAGCAGTTCATTTTTGCCAATAATAAATCTTGCTGAGACTTCCAAGAATGCTGAGTTCTAGCCACAGAGACAGCAATTTGATGGGAGCTTCAGGGCTTCACTCTGCCATTTTGTTAGTTTCCTGCCAGCTTCATCCTGGGCTGTCTTATTCCCTCCTTCTGTAATCCCACCAGGATGGAAGATTTCATGTTAGTAAAATTTAAAACAATTCTACTTTAAATATAAGCAAGGAAGGATGCAAGTTAGAAGAAATATAGAAACTAGAAGTTTACTTCTAAAACATTTCAAACATTCCTTCCCCAAAAATAGGGTAACCATTGAGATTTTTGAAAGTTGCCCCATAACAGGTGAATGATGTCAGCCATTCCTTTCCCTTGCAGTATAATGAATGTTGTCAGGGCACACCAGTTTATAGATCTCGGTATTTGCTATGAAAATTGCTTCACTTTCGTCAAACTTAAAACTTTTGTACATCAAAGGACACAGTCAACATAGTGAAAAGGAGACCTATGGAATGGGAGAAAATATTTGCAAATCATATATCTGATAAGGGGTTAACATCCAGAATATATGAACTCCTACAACTCAATAAATGAAAAGATCAAATAATCCAACTTTAAAAATGTGCAAAGAACTTGTTACCTCACATCAGTAAGGATGGCTACTATTAAAAAACAAAACAAACAGAAAATAACAAGTGTTGGCAAGGATATAGAGAAATTTGAACCCTTGTGCGTTATTGGTGGGATTGGGAAATGACGCAACTGCTATGGAAAACAGTGCAGAGGTTTCTCAAAAATCTAAAAATGAAACTACCATTTGATCCAGTAATACCACTTCTAGGTATATATCCAAAAGAATTGAAAGCAGGATCTCAAAGAGATATTTGCACATCCATGTTCATAGTAGCACAATAGCCAAGAGGTGGAAGCAATCCAAGTGTTTATCAGTGGATGAATGGATAAAGAAAGGTATATAAATACAATGAAATATTATTCACCCTTAGGAAGGAAATTCTGTCACATACTACAACATGGATGAACCTTGAGGACATTATGCTAAGTGAAAAAAGCCAGTCACAAAAAGACAAATAGTGTGTGTATCCATGAGGTATCTAACATACTCAAAATTCATAGAAACAGAATTGTGGTTGCCAGGGGCTGTGGGAAGGGGAAACGGGAAGTTGGTTTTTAGTGGGCACAGAGTTTCAGTTCTGCCAAATGAAAAAGTTCTAGAGAGCTGTTTCACAACGATGTGACCATACTTCACAGTATTCAACTGCATACTTAAAAAATGGTTAAGATGGTAACTTTGAGGTTATGTGCTTCTTTAATTGCAATTTTTAAAATGATCATCAAAAAAAATTGCTTAACTTTCTTCATACAGCCATAATTAACACTTCTTAGCAAATCCGGAACTTAAATAGTACTCTGAAGGTCACACGTGGACAAACACTGCATAAGCACAAAGTTGTTTGGTTGCTCATTGTCAATCTCCAGTCCTACCTTGGAGTAAGTTGATTTCTCTGCTGTCTCCATCGCTGAATATTCCCATGCTCTGTACCTTACGCCCTTCCAGAGCTTTCTCTATGAGATAAAGCAGGCTCTCCAAGGTTATGCCACTGTGTTCATACACCACCGAGATGACACCCACCTTAACGCTTTCGACCACCATCTGGAAAATGAAACCAACGCTGTAGGAATTGAAGCCTGCTATTTTGGAATAAAAGAAATACAATGGAGATATATATGCTATGATTTCAAAAGAATTTTCTTTTCAGAAATTATGGAAAGAAGAAAATAAGCTTCCTCCTTCATTCGTTTCTTTTTAAATTATTTTATTTATTTTCTCATTGTAAGAGGAGAAAATTGTAACTCGTAACTCCATCACTCAGGAATAAGTACTATTAATGATTTAGATTATTGAGATTATTTTCTTCTAGCCTTTTTATTATTGTGCACACCATGCCCAAGGGCATATAAATAACTTTTTTTTTTTTTTTTTTTTGAGACAGAGTCTCGCTTTCTTGCCTAGGTTAGAGTGAGTGCCGTGGCATCAGCCTAGCTCACAGCAACCTCAAACTCCTGGGCTCAAGCAATCCTACTGCCTCAGCCTCCCGAGTTGCTGGGACTACAGGCACGAGCCACCATGCCCGGCTAATTTATGTATATATATTAGTTGGCCAATTAATTTCTTTCTATTTTTTATAGTAGAGACGGGGTCTCGCTCAGGCTGGTTTTGAACTCCTGACCTTGAGCAATCCGCCCGCCTCGGCCTCCCAGAGTGCTAGGATTACAAGCATGAGCCACCGCGCCCGGCCAATAACTTTTAAAAGTCATAAAATTGACATCACATTATTTTTACATTTCCTCTTAAGCATGAATTTTCAAATTTTTTATATCAATATTGATATTGATGAATATTTCCTGTTTATATAAATATTAAAACCACTGTTCTTTGAATTCAGTAATCAGATAAACATTTCATTGTGATAAAATTAATTCTTAGCAGCAGACAGGTTGGAAAGTCATTAAAGATGCTGATTTTCTCCAAAACCTCATGCCACTTTCTAAAGGTCACAGTTCAACTGAATAGAGAACTACCACATGGCAATGTCCTATTTTATATCTAACCCCCCATCACATTCATAATCCAATAAGTACTTATGCCATAACCTTTTAAAGTGGACAAACAGGGAATGAACTTAACCGGTTTATTCACCCACGCTCTGTTGCCAATTGCTCTCTGTGCCCAGCATGATGCATTTCTAAACATTAAGGGAACAATCTGTGGCCCCACGTGAAGATCAAAGCTCTGATCCACTGAGCTCACCAGTTGTCAATGATTAGAGCCAATTCCTAGATGTTCAGGAAAAGCGATTGCATATCCTGAAAGCAGCTGTTTTGTTACAAATAGGAACTTTTAAAAAAATAAGTATATGTCCCTATGTGTATGCATTAATACATATATGTACACACATATACATACATATATACTCACACATATATAGATATATTTGTTTTCCTAGATCTTTGTGCTTTCTTTATTTTTCTTATTTATATTAAAAGTAAAATATTTAACTTCATTATAAAGAGAACATATTTTAATTTAGAGGAACACTCATTAAATAGATCACAAAATTGGACTTCTGACATTCTTCTTTTGCAAGAAGGTGGGTTACATAAAATTATTAAATTCCTTGGGAACTCCAGAGAAGTTTTGAAATAATTCTTAATCACTGTGCTCTTCTTTTGGATTAAGTGCCACAAATTCAGTTTGATAAGAATTTGTTGAACACCTATATACAAGGCAGTTTGGGCCTTGAATTCTTTTTCAAAATAATTTTGACTTATTGCTTTGGATTTTTAAAACTATTTTGAGTCTGTAAATTTTTACTTAGTTTTCCTTTTAGGAGATGAATCATTTTCATACACATGGTGGCCAAAAGATTGCCACACAGCCTCGAATCTAGATAAAAAAAAAAAAAAATTCAGGGAAAGGCTGGCCTCATAACACACTGTGTACCTCGTATGCAGGAATTCGAGATGATATTAATATGAAATGTGGCTGGAAAGAGTATGAAGAGCTGTCACCATTTTTATAAACTCCATGCCCATTTTTCTTTGAAAATAAAGGGTAGGAATGTCTTCCAGAAATATTGCTTCTATAAGAAAAAAAGGGGAATAGGTAAACTTTTCATTTTCTCTTACCTTGGTTTTTGGTAAGTGAACACCATGTGTCCTCTGGGCACCTGTACTCTACAAGGCACACGGCCTCAGTGCCTAGACTCTCCCCTCGGTTTGGAGGGACAGCAGCACATGGGGCTCCCGGGTGGGGTGGGGCCAAATCTGCCCTCTGAGCCTCTCTTCCTCCCTATGTGGGACACTGGAAAGGTCTCTCGGAAGTTAGCTCTTATTGGCATTGCAAATGAATGTAATGACATACTTAGGACTTCCAAACAACATTTAAAAAGGAGTAACTGTGAGATTTTGAATCTCCTTCTAGGCTTAGGGGTTTCTGAGTGATGGCCTCACTCCAACCCCACATTACCCAGGACAGGAGCTGCCCTGTGCTTCTTAAAGTTCTTTATGTGCCTTAAACAAGTAAATGACATGCCCACGCTTACAGATATTCACACACAGATCCACACATAGTGACAATGGGTGAAGTTGAAAGTGTGTGGGAATTTTGAGGATTTTAGGTTCTAGTGCAGGCATCCTCAAACTACCGCCAGCAGGCCACATGCAGCCCTCCGAGGACATTTATCCAGCTCGCCGGGTGTTTTTGCCACCGCTGCCTGTCCTGTTTAGCAGTCAACTCCTCCCGGGCCCACAGTGCGCATGTGTGGAATGTGCGCCGCACTCTCCAGTGGCCCTCCAACAGTCTGAGGGACAGTGAACTGGCCCCCAGTTTAAAAAGTTTGAGGACCTCTGTTCTAGTGTTTGACATTTTGACACTTGGGCAAGTTATGTCACCTCTGTAGGCCTCAGTTTCCTCATTTGAAACATAGGTGGGTGAGATTACATGATCTCTAGAATCCAGACTAAAAAGGTTTTTTTAAAAAAAATATTTCTAAGTAGCTGCACAAATTGTGATAGTTATTAATGTTAGATAGAATGGATGAATAGGATAAGAATTTAATTTCTGGCAATTTCATTATATAGTATGACTTTGGTCATTGAATGCAGCCAATGTTTCTCTGTTTTGGGTAATAAAAGAGAACTATGTTTACACACACAAATATAAAGGGGAGATACATTTGGATACTCTCACTCTATAAAAAACACTTGTGGAAAATATTATTTTTGCTTAATAACTTTATACAGAAACTATACTACATCCACAATTGCAGGGTTAAGAATATTTAAAGCCAGGCTGTTAGTCTGAGCAGCAAGCAGGAGGATTGTTTGAGCCTAGGAGTTTGAGACCAGCCTGGGCTATATAGCAAGACCCCATCTCAAAAAAATGAATTTTTTTTTTTTTTTTGAGATGGAGTCTTGCTTTGTCACCCTGGGTAGAATGAAGTTGCATCATCATGACTCACAGAAACCTCAAACTCTTGGGCTCAAACAATCCTCTTGCCTCAGCCTCCAGAGTAGCTGGGACTACAGGCACCCGCCATGGTGACTGGCTAATTTTTCCATTTTTAGTAGAAAGGGGCTCTTGCTCTTGCTCAGGCTGGTCTTGAACTCCTGAGCTCAAGCAATCCACTCACCTCGACCTCTCAGAGTGCTAGGATAACAGGTGTGAGCCACTGTGCCTGGCCAGAATATTTAAAATATAAGTTTTGAACGTTATATAGTTCCCTCTTTGGAAAGAATATTTAAGACCACTGTTCTTGAAAATTACATAATTGTTTCTATTGATATTTCATCAGAGAGGAGCCATATAATTATGCAAGATTTCTGCATGTTAGCTAAATTATTCTAGAATGAATTCTTGGTATCACAGGATGATCTTGAGTGTTCAGTAGATGGAAGTTTGCTTACCGCTTGGGCAAGGCATCTAACGATGCCAAAACAAGCTGTTTCTCCAAAGCTTCATGTAATCCCACTCGTTCTCTCACAGTCTGGGAGAGGCGTGGTTGGCATTTGGGTTTTAACAAACTAGAGCAGCGTGTTCCACTCACCCAAGGGGGTCGAACTTTGAATAACTCCTCTGAAAAACAAACAGCAGCAGGCTGGGCTGACTAGTTCATGTTTCTCCCAGCCAAGTCTACATAGATAAAGGCATCAAAAATAAAGCCGTACCAGGGCAATATTCCAAATGCCAATAATTATAGCCATTTTCGTGCACTTTGTTTGGATTTCTTATCCTCTTGGTCCTGGGGCTGCGAGTTACCAGTCATTTTCGGTCAAGAAACAAAGCTCAGAGAACAAGCAACTCTTTTCTTGTGGAGACCAGTTAATCAATTCATAGGCTTTACATTCATTTGTGCCCTTCTTGGCTTCAAATAATTTCCTATTTGTTATGATCTCTCCAAAGGGTGAGTCAGAGGGAGACGGGAGAACTCAAACCAGTTTATTGCTTTCTTTTACACACTGTGTAAATCAGAAGTCTTAGCTGAAAGCATGTTCTCTCTCCTCCCTTTCCCCTCTCTTTCTTAAACACCGCTCTTCCTGCTTCTCATCTCATTTTCATTTCTCCGCCTTTTTCACCAATCCCAACTCTGTTGTTCTGAACCTATTCATTGGCTTTTGCCTATGTTTGCTCTTCTTTGACTTCCTTGTTTTTGGTCTTATAAACCAAGGAACTAGGGAGGCAATGGAGGAACTAGGGAGGCAACTGATATTTAACCTTATATATGTCATCTGAAATCTTTTTGTTTTTCTCATCATTTAACTTGAAATACACAATAAAGAAAAGAAGAGGTCATCTTGAACATACTTTAAAGCAGTGGTCCCCAACCTTTTTTGGCACCAGGGACCAGTTTCATGGAAGAAAATTTTTCCATGGACCAAGGCAGGGTGGGATGATTTGGGGATGATTCAAGCACATTACATTATTGTGTACTTTATTTCTATTATTCTTACATTGTAATATATAATGAAATAATTATTAATATACAACTCACCATAATGCAGAATCTAATACTGCTGCTGATCTGACAGGAGGTGGAGCTCAGGAGGTGAGGCAAGTGATGGAGAGGGGCTGTAAATACAGACGATGCTTCCCTAGTCCACCTGCTGCTCACCTCCTGCTGTGCAGCCCGGTTCCTAACAGGCCACTGACCAGTACTAGTCTGTGGCCTGGGGGCTTGGGGACCACAGAGTTAAAGAGTGCCACCCTCACACTATTCCAGAAAGACAAGGCTATCATCTTCTGTGGGAATTTGCATGTAAACCCATTTGTTTCTACAATACTTAGATACGTTAATATTTTTAAATGCTACTCACTCTTACGTAGTATGATTTTTTCCCAGATTATTCTTCTTATGCACTTTTCTCTTTGTGTCTCCTCTAGCTCGTCTTCTTCTTCTGTTTTGGGTTCATTCAGTGTATCATAAATAGCAGCAGCTTCCCTAGGTGTCAGCCAATCTAAGGTGGACACACAAGCAATGTAATGGTGCTTCCAAGCCCCAAACTCATTATCTGCTGGAGTATAGGGAAGGAACCATCCAAACCTAATGCATTTGGGCATCCATAAGCAATCCTTCAGAAAAAAAAAAAAGAGACAAAGAAAAAGATGAGTTGCAATTTTTTTAAGGCAGTTTTGTAGCAATAATGTTTTCAGGTATACAGATAATTTTTTTCATTACATTGAGATTTCTGGTGCAATTGATTTGCCATCTCTGCTTGACTCAGAAGTAAGAAGCATACTTTACTCCATAGGAAAAATATTCATTGATGAATATATACATTATATATGAACATATGTGTGTTATCTTTGTGACACTTATTCAGTATTCCCATAGCATTTGGTTACATTAACCCTAGATTCTGAGAACTCAGCTTCTAGCAATGGTATAATGCTTTGTTTCAGATCAACCCTTCTATTGAGAATCAGTTGGATTGAGCCATATGATATTGCCAGTATGCAATCACATTTGGACATATGAAAACAGTAAATTTCATGTGGTTCAATCTAATCAAATATCTAGACTAAATATAATAAAACAATTATTTGAAAGCTATTAATATATTGCAGTGCTATGAATGCAATAAGGATTTGTGCAATAAATACCACAGAGAGAAGGGAAACCCAAAGACATAAGCCTAATATTTGTCATTGCTTTTTGCTTCAAGGCATTTGCCAGTTCCAAAGTAAAGCTTATTAGGCTGAGAAGCAGAGCAGAAAGCCATGACAAAAAGACTTAGAAGTTAAAAAAAAATATCAGGCATTGTCATAGGGAAGAGAAGACATAAATTGAAATTCCAAGCCCATTAAGAGGAAAAGCTCTGGTAATCACACCAGGCTTTCAGATGAGACCCTTTTCAGGAAGGATGATACTGAGTTAGACAAACTATGGCAAGGACTGAAGCAAGCCTTGAAACATTTCATTCCCTGATTGGATTTACATTATCTATTTATAGCCTAACCACATGCCAGAAGCAAAAGTAAATTCTCTCTAGAGGAAGATAACATTGTCCAGAGACTAAATTATCACATCAGTTTTTTATACTCAATATCTGGTACTCATTTAAAATCCATCAAAATTAACTAGAACACACAATCGATAAGAACTGTTTGTTTCTTATTTTTCTGGTGTTTAGTAACTATGGAGAGATTCTCAGGAGATAGCAAATATTGTAATTATCAGATATGAACATCAGGGAAAAAAACCCACCCTATAATTAATATATTTAAGAAATTAAATGACTAAGAAGAAAATTTTAGCAAAAGAATGAAATCAACATTCTAGAACTGAAAAATATGACAATTGAAACTTAAAACTCAATGAATGGATTAGAATATAGCTAAAGAAATAATTGGTAAACTAAAAGATAGGTCAGATGAAAATCTAGACCAAAACACTAAAGATCAAAAGAATGAAAAATGCATAGAAGAGAATATGAAATTTGTGGGACATGGTAAATTAGTCTAACTAAATTAGTCTATAGGCACTGAAATCACAGGAGAAAAAGAGAGAGAGAGAATAGGTTAGAAGCAATGTATGAAGAGATAACATCTGAGAACTTTTCAAAACTGATGAAAGACAAAATCCCATAGTCAAAAATCACTGCAAAACAAGATAAACACACACACACACCCTAGGTACAGCATAATAAAATTGCTGAAAACAAAACACAAAGAATAAAGTTCAAAAAGTAACTAGAGACAGTAGAAATATTACCTTTAAGGGAACAACAATTAAACTTCTGACTTCTTAAGAAAGTTATGGAAGCCAGAAGACAATGGGATATTTTGAAAGTTCTATAAGAAATTAACTGCCAACCTAGAATTTAAATTCTCAATGAAAATATCCTTTAAATATGAAGGTGAAATAAAGGTATTTTCAGACAAACAAAAACTAAGAGAATTTATCAGCAGCAGACTTGCACTAAAAGAAATATTAAAGAGAATTCAGAAGGAACATGATCCCAAGTAGAAATTGATATAGGAAGGTATGAAGAGTAACAGAAAAAGTAAATATATGGTTACATACAAACAAATATTGACTATATAAAACAATAGTAATAAAGTTTTGTGAGATGTTTATGCATTATATGTAAATGTTTATTTTATAAATATATATAATAAAAATATTTGAAAACAAAAGCATAGAAAATGCGGAGGGCTGGTAAATGGAATTAAAGTGTTCTAAGCTGCTTGCATTGTCTTGGAACACAAAGACATATGCTCTGAACACTATGGTAACCATGAAAGAACTATTAAAGAATTTATAATTAACCATTGAAAAAATATTTAATTAATCCAAAGGAAGACAACAAGAGAGGAAAAAACATAAAACACATGGAACAAACAAAAAATAAATAGTAAGATACACATATATCAGCATTTACACAAATATAATACCCAGTTAAAAGTCAAAGATTGCCAAATGTTAAAAAAAAAACAAAAACACCTTTACCATATTTTGTTTACAAGACATACCTTAAATATAGGAACATAGAAAGCTTGAAAGTAAAAAAACAAACAAAAAAACCCCCCAGAAAACAATATACCATCCATTAAAACACTAACCCTGGATTCTGAGGAATCTTTCTAAGTGCTATAAATTCAGGGTTCACAGGAGGCTTTTAGCCTGTGGTCCTCCATAGAGAGCAGCTCATCTCTGAGATCAGGATCTCAACATGTGCCTTCCTTGAAAATATTGTATTATTTTTTTGTTTGTTTTTTGTTTCATTTTTTAGAGGCAGAGTTTCTCTGTTGCCCAGGTTGGAGTGCAGTGGGTGCAATCAAGCTCACAGAACTCATACTCCAGAGCTCTAGCGATCCTCCTGCCTCACTCTCCCAAGTAGCTAGGACTACAGGGTGAACACCACACCAGTTTATTTTTTAAAGTTTTTTGTAGAGATAGGAGTATTGCCCAGGTAATCTTGAATCCTGGCCTCAAGTGATCCTCCCACTTCAGAGTCCCTAAGTGCTGGATTCTAGGTATGAACCACAGTGCCCAGCCAATTTTGTGTAATTTAAAATTAAATGACCGACTTCTTTAAAGTATGTCTATCATTACATTACATTTTATTAATCTTTTAAAAGAAAATGAAGACACAAATAGGCCAGAGGCAGAATTAACGGCAGAGGATGCTGACTTTAAACAGCTGCTGCTGTTAACTGCTTTAACTGCTTTTAAAAGATCTAGCTATCTGTTCTTCAACAGATGTTACCCAAGAGAGATCTGTTGAAGGTGTGGTTGTATAGCATTTGTTAAAGCTGAGTTATCATGATAATATAATACACCCCAAAGTTTAAATTATTTTTCATGAAGAAAAATGAACTCTTTAATAAAAATAAAATGCTTTCAAAATAATTACATTGAATATTTAAAGATTTTTTTAAAATTACATGAATTATTGGAATATAGCCCCTTATTTATTTATAGAAATAAAGTATTCTATTTCACTTATCCCCATTACTTCTTGTAAGGGTGAGTTACTGATGGTTCAGGTACCCTCAGCTATTGTCTGCAGGGAAGGTAGCTACCCCAATAGTCTACTTACAGATTACAGTTGTATTTGTTCTTTTTTTTTCTTTTTTTAAAAATATTTTATTTATTTAAAAATTTTATTTTAATCTTTTTCTTTTCTTTTTTCTTTTTCCATCCTAATTTGTCCTATACAGTTGTATTTTTACCCGATTTCTAGGAAGTGACAAGTAGTACACCTGTTCAGTTAAAAACTTCCAGGGCCAACTGACTTGGGCAGCTGCACACAAATCCTTTGGACTCAGAAAGGAAAAGATATATAGAGAAATGAAGCGTGGTAACACTGTAGAGAAATCCACTTTGGCCATATGTATCCTTTCTGAAAACCAGTCTTGGACACACCTAAGAAGAAAGATAAAGAAATTTAGTTCAGAACACTAAGTTCTAAAATTGACTAAAAGTCCAGTATGAATATTGGTCATTATTCCTTCTCTAATCTTATACCTATAAAAAATAATAAAATCTTAAATAACACAAGGGTAGATTTTTTAAAAATACTATATCCACTTTAATTATCCATTCTAACGAGGAAGATGAATAATAAAAATACATGAAATTCACAGGTATAAGAAAATCTAAAATAAACCTAATTGTTTAAGCCATAATCCTGTTTTTGTTTCCCTTTTCCTTTTCCCCAAATTCAATAAACCAGCAAGTCCTATCAGCTCTACCTCCAAAATATATCACCAAATTCAACTACTTTTCTCCATTTCCACTGCTATCACTCTGGTCCAAGGTGCTTATACCTCTCTCCTACACTTTTTTTTTTTAGCAAAATTATTTCCTTTTATTCTGTGGATCTTCACTAAAGTAAATAGAAATGTGCACGATATGTGTTAATTTATACATGATGATGAGAATTAAGGCTTCTGGAGAAACTCCTACTATATATTTCAGAAGATCTTCAGGGAAGGGGCTGACTTCTCTTGACTAACTCCCAGTGGGCCTGAAGAGATACTGGCCAAACTTTCAAAGTAGCTTCTTGAAGATAGATTGATCTGTTTAGAACAGTCCATTCCCCTGTTCAGTTTCAAGGTCCAAATCAATATCATAAGAGCAGGGCCAGGTAGGGAGTCCAGGCATTGTGCTCATCATTCCTACTAAAGGGTACAGAAAACCAGCCCCAACGCTGGCGTGGATGTCGCAAATAGGCAGAACAGAGCCTGCAGGCACGCCTTTTTGCTCTGGGTTGTGAGACAAGGACACGTGTGTCTTGGCCATGCAGATGGGTAGATTCCCAAAGCCCTGCTTCATGTAGACTTCAGCTTTGTGCTGAGCTTCAGGGAGCAATTCAATGTCATCTGCCCTGTAGATCTTCTGCGCAATGATCCTGATTTTATCCTCAACTGGGAGCTGGAGGTCATAAAGGAGTCGGAAGCTGCTGGGTGCCTGTGCGGCTCTCTGGACTGCTTGCGCCAGGGCTAAGGCACCCTTGCCCCCTTCTGCCCAGCGAGTGCACTTCATAGCATCGAAAGCTCCGTGCTCTCTGGCAAGGTGGATGACGAGGGCCAGCTCAGCCTCTTTTTCCGTCTTGAATGCATTCACAGCCACTACAACTGGAACTCCAAACATTCTGGCATTTTTCAAATTTGTTTCTTCAGGTTACCGAAGGCTTTTTCAACCAGCTCCATGTTCTCCTCTATGTAAGCCTTGGGAAGAGGCAGTCCAGGGGTGACCGTGGGGCTGCCCACGTGCATTTTAGGAGCCCTGACAGTGGCAACGAGCACCACCACCACGTGAGAGTGGAGGCCAGAGTACCGACATTTGATGTTAAAAAACTTTTCCATTGTGATGTCTGCTCCGAATCCGGCTTCACAGCCTGTGGATTTGTCTCCCTGACAAGAGTCCAGATTCTAGACTTCCTAGAGTTCATTCTCCATACAGCAGTCTAAGTGGTTTTTTAAAAAATGTAACTTAAAGAATGTCACTCATGCAAGTAAAACACTACGATTTCCCAAGCAATTATAATAGAAACCTATAGCTATATGACGCTTAGTGGTGAAATATTAAATGCCTTCCCCGTAACATCAGAAACAAAGCAAGAATGGCTACTCCCTCTAAAATTTAACATGTACTAGAGGTCGTAGCCAGTTCAACAAGGTGAGAAAAAAAAAGGCACACATATTGGAAAGAAAAAAGTCAAACTGTCTCAATTCATGTATTATGTAAGCAGAATCTTCAAAGCAGCTATTACAAACAACTGAGGAATCTGCAAAGCAACTATTTAAATTGTTTGATTTTCTTTTATTATCTTTTTAATGTCTATAGGGTCTGCAGCAATACCCCCTTTTTCATTCTTGATATTCATTTATGTTCTCTGTCTTTTTTCCTTTATTACTCTTGCTAGGAGTTTAATTTTATTGCTGTTTTCAGAAAACCAGCTTTTATTTTCATAGATTTTTCTATATTATTTGTCCATTTTCTATTTTATTGATTTCCATTCTTTATCATTTCTTTCCTTCCACTTAATTTGTTATTTTTTTCTAGTTTCTTAAGGTGTAGATTCAGAAGATTAATTTTAAACCCTTTTTTCTTTTCTAATATAATCACTTAAAATTATATATTTCCCTCTCTACTGGGCTTCAGCTGCATCACACACCTTTAGATATGTTGTATTTTCATCATCATTCAGTTTGAAATATTTTCTAATTTCCCTTGTGATTTCTTCTCTGACCATTAGGTTATTTAGAAGTGAGTTGATTTCTAAATATTTGGAGATTTTCTAGATATTTTATTTTTATTAATTTTAAATTTTATTGCATTATTGTTAAGTCCAATTTTGAAATGTATTGAATCTTATTTTGTGGACCAAGAAATGATCTACCTTTGTGAATGTTATTTTTGCCCATAGAAAGAACATATATTTGGAAGTTGTTGGATTTAGTTTTCTGTAAATATTAATTAGATCAAGGTAGTTGGGAAGATTGCTCAGGTCTTCTATATACTTAGTGATATTCTTTTTAGTTCTATTAATTAATCCTGTCAATTTTTGTTTCATGTAATTTGAAACTCTGTTATTTGATACATATACATTTATAATTCTTTTGACTTTTTGATGAATTGACACTTTCATCACTATAAAGTTTCTTTCTATCTCTCTTGTAATATTCCTTGAATTGTGCATTATTCTTTTAAGTTTTTGCTAGAAAGTACAATAGGCATCTTTAACTTTTCATAGTCTACTTAGAAGTTAATATTCAAATAAAACTAAATAACAGTGTAAGAATATGATCCTTCCCATCTTTTGTGTTTAGTTGTCATATGTACATCTATATATGTTATAAACCCCACAATACGTTGTTTTGCTTTAAACATTCATATGTCTTTAAAATAATTTAAAAATTTTACATTTTCCCACACATTTGCCACTTCCTGTGTCTTCTCACTCTGTTGCCCGGGCTAGAGTGCCAAGGCATCAGCCTAGCTCACAGCAACCTCAAACTCCTGGGCTCAAGCATCCATCCTCCTGACTCAGCCTCCAGAGTAGCTGGGACTACAGGCATGCACCACTATGCTTGGCTTTTTTTTTCTATATTTGTTGCCATTAATTCTTTCTGTAGTAGAAGATAGAAATTTCTTTTTATAGTAGAGACGGGGTCTCGCTCTTGCTCAGGTTGGTTCGAACTCCTGACCGTGAGCGATCTGCCGCCTCGGCCTCCCAGAGTGCTAGGATTACAGGCTTGAGCCACTGCACCCGCCTGTGTTCTCATTCTTGTAAATCCAAGTTTCCAGCTGGATTTATGCTCAAAGAATTACAATAGTTGGGCTATAAGAAGGGCCAGAATGAGGCCAGCAAGAATTCTTTGATCCATGCAGAAGTCATTGTTCACAAGGCTGTATGATTTGTCAGTTATGCCAGACCTGGATGAAGACCTCTATGGCTGGCTCTTCCAGGTGCCTTCAGTTACTGTAAGTTGTATACAGCCATCCTCTCCCTCTTCCTTGGCTGAGCTACTTTGGCATTTAGGAATTATTGGGTGGTAAAAAAGAAAATTTAAGGCGAGCTAGTACATTTCTCCATCTTTGCTTGAAAAGTATTCATATGAAAAGAAACGGTACATTTCTCTCTTTTCTTTTTCATGTCTGGCTTGACATCAGCATGTAGATGGACAGTTCATATTGTTCTGACTGAAGACACTTTAGTAGACATAAATTTGGACACTGACTGCCTTGGATGGTTCTATAGTGACTCTCTTTGCTTTCAGAAGTCACTCATGCCTGTAAAATGATGACTCCTACATTCCTGTGAAACTCATCAATCCAGGGAAAGGACAGTCTAGTTATCCTGCAGTGAAGGGGATGGGCCTTGATTGATGGGAAAGTAGGTGGAGATAGGTAAGGATTAAAGAGGAGTGCAAAAATTTTTTTCTTTTTTATCATAGATGCAAGCAGCCTCTCATGACTCTCTTACAATATTGGAAATGTTGCTCCATGCTTGGCCCAGCTGTATGAGATTTTTTTAAATAGATACATAATATTTGTACATATTTATGTGGTACAAGTGATATTTTGTTACTGTTACTGTTATGTGTACATTGTGTAATAGTCAGTCAGGGTATTCAGGGTATCCATCACATTGGGTATTTATCATTTCTATGTGTTGGGAGCACTTCAAGTCCTCTCGTCTAGCTACTGTGAAATATACAATACAAGGTTGTTAACTATAGTCACCCTATTCCGCTATTGAACATTAGAACTTCTTCCTTTTATCTGACTGTGCGTCCCCATTAGCCAACCTCTCTTCATCCCTACCCTGACCCACACACCCTTCTCAGCCTCTGGTAACTATCTTTCTACTCCCTACCTCCATGAGATCAATGTTCCAGCTGTATGAGATTTTACTGACACCCCACTTGTGAACACAAACATGACAGCCGCCATAACTCAGTGCCAATCAAAGGCAATGTAGAAAATTACGTTAAATGAACCTCCAGTTCCAGGGGCTGGACTGAGCAGAGACAGATTCGGGTGGTCCCTTTTCATAGTCTTAGCAGACATCTGTCATGGCAGATCTGGCTTAGCTCAAAGAAAGGAAAACTGCTAAATTCTAAGTCTTCCTTTTTAACAAGGCATCATCCTTGACTAAGAAGCCCCCATGGTTACCTAGTTTTGTAAATGTTCCCTGCTCCCCTCCCACACTCTATAAATCTGTATACCATTATGAGTGCAGAGTCTCTACTGACACTTGGCCAAGGTCTGTACATCTGTCTCCCACTTGCCTAAGCTGTGAGGTGATGAAAGTTGAAGAGCTCAGGTGCTCTGCTACTCCTCTGTTCAGGAGGGCTTTCTCAATATATGCTGTTCTGTATCTGCATTGGATGGAACTGCGGGTGTGTCTGTAA